TATAACAAAATACTACCCTTCAGAATATTATTAATTCGTCGAGCTTTATAAATAAACATAGAAAGAAATAGCAACATGACATCTCAGGGATGTTATCGACCCCTCGGAGCCACCAGATAGGTCAGTTATCTGTTTAATGAAGCTTCTTCTCGCTGGTCTGGCGAAGGAACTGCAGTTTTACTCAGTACGGCGGCAGAATAGGGCAGAAACCCACTCTCGGACCTTTGCCCGGCTGCTGTGCAAGTAAAGTCTGCGCTGGCACTTCTTGAGCCCAGGGCGCTCGCTGCCTGGCTACTGTGACAGCTGAGGCAGGAGCACGGGCCGGTGCCCGACGGCGCGCCCGCAGCTGCGGCCGCGGCTGCGGCTGCCGCTGCCGCGGAAGCCGCGGCCGAGCTGTTCAGCCCGGCAGGTGACTGGTAGAGTCCCGGGTGCCTGAAGCTACACAGCAGCTCTGGCCTCGAGTAAGGATGCGACAGCGCGCGGAAGGTGTCAAGAGGACGGATGGAGGTAGCAAAAGGTGACGCTGCAGCACCCGTTGCGGCCGCAGCGGCGGCTGCTGCTGTAACACCCACATGCGGGTAGTAGTGCAGAGGCATGTGGGAATGGAAAGGGTATGGTAGACTTCCGGTGGCAGCCGCGTGCGTCATCATGTAGGTGTAAAAACTCGGGTCCGCTGGATGAGGCCAAGACATGGCCAGCCGCTGTCTCTTATCCTTCATCCGCCTGTTCTGGAACCATACCTGAAGAAGCAGAACGCACCCTTAAAACGACGGAATTTTATTCTCTATAAACACGGTTTTCAATAAGATAAAAAATGGTCTAATAATAACACCTTTACAAATTTACAAATATTTATATTTAAATATATTATGCACCCTATTGATGTCTGTACCTTTGAGTTGATGTAATGTTTTGCTTCGGGTTTGAAATAAAAAAAAATGTCAGAAATGTCTTTCGTGAACCGGTGTATTGTCATTTACCCCTAAGGAAATCAGGCATACATCACTAAGACGCTAGATTACAAATCATAACAAAAACGTAGATTTGTATAGGCCTTTGCGTTTAAAATCGAAGAGAAATGTTGCGCTGTGTAGCAAAAACAATAGCTTAATTCAAATTAATTCTAGGAACGTGTAAACTAATTTGTTTATATTTTAGGAACACAAACTTCCACTCAACAGTTCACAGGTATTTTAAAATTATTCCTGAAGAATGTAATATTAATAGATAAAATAAAATAAATTGTATTTTCTCCTTTAAGGTAATATATTACTGAAAACGAGAATTTCATGAATATATTTTATCACACTTTAAATTTGAAGGCGACTAAAACACCGCATAAAATATGGGTATACCAGGTCTCGTTGCTCATAAGTATACGAAGATATACTTTTTCATAACATAGAACTAATATTAAATGCACGCTTACATATTTTTGTAAACTAATCTTTTAACCAAACATTTTAAATGTTAACAGAGAGAGTCACTGCGATACATGCGGCTGCACTTGATAACCTTCCTGATTTTTATTATTAACGTGACTTAATTGTCGCATGGAGATTTATTTAAAACATTATGCACGGTTAAAAAATAAAACGTAGATTGAAGCCAAACATGAAAATATTCGTGTTTGTCTTATGACAGGGTGCTGTGCTAATACAATGCACACTGATATGCAAAACCGAGAAATGAATAAAAATGATGTTGTTTAACAAACCTTTATAGTGGTTTCTGGTAGATTTAAAGCTGCTGCCAGTTCACATCTTCGTGGTCTTGAGACATAATTTTCTCTGTAGAACTCTTTTTCCAGTCTGGCTATTTGTTCTCTAGTGAAAGCAGTCCGGTACCTTCTCACCTGATCAGCACTCGAACTTGAGCTGCCTATCGAATTACCGTTTATGTTCAGACTGGATACTGAAGATGTGCTTGTGTTGGATGTTGCTGAGGTGCTGTCTGAAAAAACTAGAAAAGACACGGTGTACGTAAACATTAGAAAACCATGCGTTGTTTTGTGTGAAAATATATTCTCGTGACATTTTAACTACGGCGAAGTTCTTTCGATTTTACTGTGTGTGTGTGTGACAATATTTCAAAATATTATTCGCATTTGTTTTTTACATTTAAGTTAAGGGCACATGCGACTAAATGCCAGTGGCAATCTACCAATTCGCTTAAAAACTTTTATTCCCTTTTCTGCCGTATATTCCGCAATGTGGACGATTTCCCCTTCCGCTATCGTTTGTACAAAATTTCAAGAAATCACAAAACGAACAAAGAACATCAGCACAAAATGCTGGATGCATCGTTTTCTTATCAGCTACAAAAATCACAATTAGAAACAAGAGCATAAGCAATAAACCGAGCGAGTGCTATGTATAGAATTGCAGTAATTTTGTATATTTCCATGTTACAAAATCACAAATATCACATAACGTGCCTAGGGGAAATATCAAATACCTTTGCTGTTGTTTTCCTTGTGCTGGGTGGCACTGAGACTGTTTGGGGAGCGATGTGCTGAGCATCCCACCTCCACATCACTGTTCATGTCTGCCTCTTGAGCAACTTCTGGGTACAGGGCGATTTTCTTCCTGTTTTCAGATGAAGAGATCTCTGAAGAGGAGGTATTGTCGTTATTCGGATGATGTGGATTGAATAGGCTCTCTATTTCGAACTTGCCTTTAGCGGGGATATCCCCTAGATTGCCATGCAGAGATGCGGAAGTTAGTCTGGGGCTGAGACGACCACTGTGCTGTGAATTTTCAAGGGCCTCCAACACTGCATTTCCAGCTGAGTCTGACAAATTCGAAAGCCTTTTAGCAGCAGCGGGGCTGTGCAACCCCCTTTCCATCAGAATCATCTCCTTTCTTATTCTTTCCATCATCAGCTTTATAGAAAAAGCCAAAGTTGCCGGGTTGGTCCTCTGCTAATGATGAGTTGCGGTAGGGGCTAATTCACATTCAGCCCTGCAAGTGTCTCTAAATAATATTGTACCTTTTTGAGCAAGGCGCAAAATTGTGGGATGCCAAAGCCAGAGAATGACTGGTCAAAATGACCTGAGCATCTTTTCTAGTTCGAAATGTCATTCATCAAAAAGTAGTGCTCGTCATTAAGGTTCGAATGACGCCGCTCGAAAAAATCATTTATTGTAACAGGTTTATAAGCAAATAAATACAAGTGGCTGTCAGTGGATGATGAAGGCGGCCTGTGGTCAGACGAATACATCCAGGTACAGAGATAGAGAAGAAGTGAGCAGTCGTGCTGCTTGTCCCGCGCTTGATCAGAGTCTGCTTAGACTGCTCCTGGGTTTGGCCTCTGGGGTGAAATTGACAGTCTGATTAATAAAATGAGCACTGCAAGATTTCCCTCTTCATTTAGGAATATCATTACGCTGTGATTTTCTATTGTTCCTCTCTTCTGTTCTTTCTGCTTTTGCTACACTGTCGAGGACTGCACGGCGAGATGGCAAAATTACGAAATCTTAAAGTTTCGTTTATTTAGTTCCATCATCTCTCAATCCTTGGTGATGAAATATACAGTTATTCTTAAATACGCATATGTACACATTAGAGATTTTAAAGCACAGGATAAAACGTCAAAAGGACGTTTATATTTAGTACATAGTATTCTTTATTTTATTTCCTATTTTACATTTTTCGGGCTGACGTTCACAAAACATTACACTATTTTCTATTCATTATAATAGTTAATTATTTAGTAGGATGCAAAGAAATTCACAATTATTACAACTTACAATTTCAGTTTGCATATGGATGTATTCTTTTGTGAAGAACGTTTTACAGGTATTAAGTTTACTAACAGAATGCTTTATTTTTTGGAGTAGTCTACACATCATTACAGAATAGTCGCAGTGTTTTCAAAGTGAGAATTCGGCAATTTTGAGGGAACACTTTTAAAAATGCGAGCTTTATTTTGGAAATCAAACTTGGATTAATTTATCGCTACAGCGCTGAAATGAATCCACTAGACGACAGTAAAGGATTTTTAGGTGACCCTCGTTTGATAAACACAACCTTTCTTATTGTTAATTGTTCAAGAACTGATGACGCAGATGACAACGATAATAATGAAGATTGAACTTTAGTTCGAATTTTCGGTGTGCATTCTGTACCCATTTTTAAACATTGAATGGCAAATTAAACAAATCACATAGAAAAATTAAAGCTAAATTTCTGTTGACATTTGAAATTTAGGAGTCATAAACGTTTAGTATGATTTAGTATCGGAAGATATCATCTGAATGCCGCTGGCGCATTACTTGAAATATTTAAATATAACTAGACAGGTTTTGAACGTTGCTCTGTTAAGATATATGATTATTTTAAAGTTAATCTATTTGCACAATAAAATGAGCCCCCTTCATTTTCTATCTACATGCTTCCTGCTCCAGTTTAGATATCTCCTTTTTCATTTTTTTTAATCATCGCGGTCCATTTCAAGTTGTGTAATGTCTCCTCTCAATGTTAACCTTTCGAATTTTTAGTTTTTGCTACAATTTCGGATGTAGGCAACGAAGACGCGAAGTATAATAAATAAGGCGAACAATCAACGAGTGTCTGTTTCCCCAGTAAGCAGGCAGTGTGTGAGCATGGTTTGTGTTCGGGAGGTTTTGATGCAGAGAACGTGTGTGTGCGGGCTTCAAGAGAAAGCGGCTGGAGACGAGCGAACAGGTAAAGAAAACTGTTCTTCGGCGTCCTTTGGCGCCCCCAACAGTTTTTTTTTTCTGTTAAGGGTGCGAATTGAGAGGTGTGTTATTGAGAGGTGGTCAAAATAGGGCCATTGTTGATTATTTCGTTTTTACAATAAAATTAAGAGTGACAAACATGGACATACTTAATGGAATTTATAAAACAGTGTACTAACTTCTTATAGAATTCACATAATTCTTGTTTTAGTTGGAGGTTTTTTTTTTCCCCCACAACACATTTTTATGAGAAATGGCTTTCTAGGCCTATGTTACATCGCTTTATAGTGTAATATAGAGTCAGAAATCCTAAATTAAATGTTTTAATCAAATCTGTAATACGCAAGTTGTATTAAATGGCGTTTTGGAAACTAAACAAAAACGTGGACATAATTCGTAATTATATATCATACATATAACTTTAATAACAAGGACATATTGCTCAAGTCTAATCACAAAAACTGATACTGTAAAGCAGTATGGATGTCATTCAGGACATATCAAGCAGTGGTTGTAACACTGTTAGCAGGAATAATACTACCACAGTATGAGGCACTGTGGGTGCTAATTAATGGCGGAACATATCCTAAACTATAGGCTAGATTACAGCGCGGCATTTTATATTATAAATATATATTCATCCATTATTTAACACACATTTTAGATTTTTTGCCATTGTTGCCCACGATTTTCGTCGGCCTACAGGACCAGACAGAAAGTAAAGGCACGACACAGTATCAACCTTTTGTCATTACTTCGTAACCAAAGCAGTCGCTAATGTCGCTCTGTCCTTGACTTTAGTAGAATAAGTATAATTTGCTGTCTCTCTAACTAAGTTTTATTGCCCAGTGTAGTGAGTTAAAAGCCATAAAAGCCCCACATTGGCTTGAAGCAAACGACAGAACGGGTTATAGATCACAATGATCGTCTGGTTTGGTTTCCTACACTTTAAATTTAGAAGTCATTCGAGCCCACAGGTGCTGCGTGTCGGAGCCTGCTTGCAAATTTAACATATTTTCGTCTTGTGTATTCAGCATGTTTTTGGATCCAGTTTCTCCACAGTGTAAACTCACAGAGCCATCTAGTGATTGCGGTGTAATATTGCAAGATGACATCTGGTGTAATGGAATGAGATTTTCTGACAACACTGGAGTTCCTTTGTCGTCACCATTTCACTTCTGAAGACCTCAACAGACTTTTAAGGATGATATTTTGCGGTGTGGAAGTAAACAAAGGGATGTTACTGGATTTCTGTACGAGTGTCTTCGATACATTTCCAATCCTATCCAGACAGCTGAAAATCGTAAATCTTCATTCTCTACATACAGTCCAACCAACTATAATCTTGCCAAGAACCCCGAATGTTCTCCTCTCGATCACAACTGGCCCGCTAATGTATATCACCTGCATTTTTAAACCGATTCTCCTACCCACAGGAGGTTGCTCTAACCTAGTTACACTACGGGACTTCACAGTATCATAGAGTACCCATTGAACCACATACTGTACCACAGGAATATATAGTGTCACAGGCCGTTAGATTTGAAATCCTTTTTGTTAACGTGATATTGTACGTGAAATTAAATATACTTGAAACATATTATCAATATCTTTCAAATATAAAACTTTTAATGTATTGTTTAAATCCCTTGTATTCTTAAAGATGAGGAAAAATGGCATTTAACTTTCCCCGCTATGAGAATGATATTCCAGCGGTAAGTAACCTCCATCAGTTTTAAGCCTCAGGCAACATGTATACATTGTGTGGATATCTCATTTTAAAAGCCAGTTTGCAATGACGGTTGATTGTTTTCCTTGCAGCATTAGATTTCGTCTCACATGTTTCTCGGTGCACACCTGCAAGGCAGGGAAAGAGATGAATCCCCTACAGCAAACATCTGACCGCTGAGCTTTGAGAAGGCATCCGAGAAGAATAGTTTTCTCCCTCCCGAAATTCGATTGAACTTTTCGCTAAAGCTTAAAGTTACCGAAAGGCAGGTGAGGCCCGCTGCTGTGATTCCAACAATAAAAAGATCTCATCAGGTCCTTGCGGAAAAAATAAATAAAGGTCAAAATTTGACACTTCTTTTTCTTTTTTTTCCTTTTAGGTTTAAATATGGTTTCAGAATCAGAAACAGAAAAGGCTTCACATCTGAGCTAACTTTGTATGCAGGCCTATGGCTCACTTTCTAAATACTAATTCCTTTGATTGGTTGGGTTTGCATGTGTCTGTCATCATAACCTTACTTAAAAGTAATTCGTTAATTGCTAACTATTTTTTTTTCCATTATGGGTTGTCTTTGTTACCTTAAAGAGAAAACGCAGCAGAAAATAGCCTATACCCATCAGGCCCTATCTTGGCATGACGGTAGTTAGAAGTCTACATATGTTGCAAGTTTGTATTTTTAAGTTCATTGTCAGAAGTTGATTCCTAATGGAGTGAGTGCTTCAGCTGATTTTGTTGCATTTGAGATATCACTAGTTGTAGCCGCCATTTTTTGTTACGTCTTATTATTTTTCCATTAAAAATTAAGGTGTGCAATCTTTTTTTTACTTTTCAAAGCACCACACGAAAGACACGTTTGCTATAGTATGGGCTTCTGAAATATTTTTGATGTCATCTAAAAAGGATCACCTGAAACACCCGAGGTACCACGATCTCTTCATTTCGCTATCAATGTAATATAATGTAAGTTATATGTCTATATTCCAAAATGTAGTTCGCTTGCATACCCTCGTAAACATTTCACATCTGAAACTTTATTTCGTTATGAAAAGACCTTACACGTGAATTTCGATCTACACGTTTTTTCTGGTTTTATCATGGATCTGCGGACTTTACGCACGTCTGTACAAACTGCTGTTCTTTTTTCATTATTAAAACTCCATATATAAATACAAATACTTAGTTCTATTAATATTCTCAAATTCTGAGTGAGTTCAGATCACCATTTTAGATAATAAGTCTACATTGAGAAGGATTGTTTTTATAAATTATATCTAATAAATCTTTAGTCTGCGTTCTGGCAGTTCATCGATGATTAATTCCGACTCAAATAAAGGTAAAAGCACTATATAATATATTGAAAGATTAGCTTTAATTCATAAGTCTGGCAAGGAACTTTTAGTCGAAGAATGATCTATTGTTACCTAAGCTATACGCAATCTATTTAAAAATTGAATTCCATAATTAAACGTATTAGGTCAGAGACGCATGTGTCCATGGTTAAAACATAATTTATTCCGAATTACAGAGTGTTTGTTCTTATTGTGTGAAAAATACTGGATGATATATGTAGAACAATTATTTTAAAGTTTATTTTGTATTGTGCTGTGGTTTCTTTATGTAGAAATGTTCATGTAAAAAACATTATCAAACTTACAATGCTTTGTAATAAGAATGGCTTACTGGTGAACTATGGTATATGAGTTCGATATATGATTAGATAGATTTAAAAAGAATATTGAGAAATTTTGTCAGCATCCCCTTAACCACCCCAAGGGTATAAGTGAGGAATTGAAAAAAAGGCAATTATAAGTTTCAATATCGTTTACTTATATAACAATGAGGGTTCGATATTTTTGTAAACCAAACCAAACCAAAATATATTTGACCTAAGGCCCAATGTTATATTTGTTAGTGTTATTTGGCACACAGTGTGATTTCTTAAGTAGTATCTATAAAGATATTTTTCTTGACAGCTCTTCGAAGAAATGCAGACAATTCAGACTGTTTTGTACACTTAATAAATTCAGTTGTAATCACAGATATTGTAATAATCTGTTAAATGGTTCTATACATCCTGTTTTACCAAATATGTTTAAATCGAAAGTGTTCCGCACTTTAGTCAAATTGACTAAACTGTTTTAAATTATGTATGAAATCGGTTAGATTTGTTTGTGGAATACTCTGTAAAATTAAATACATATATAAATGAAATTGAGTAATTAAAGATTACATTGTTATTGTCCGTATTGTATATAATCTTTATATAGTGTTTATATAGTGTTGGTTTAAAATACATTTTATTCTGAGAGGTACAAGAGGAACTGTTCACTGTACTTTCAAATATTAGTTGTATTCGTCTGTAAACTATGCTACATTTGCATTTTAGTTACGTCTTTTAAGAACATGTCCATATTGAAATCTTTAGGATCTATGCGCAGCTTGCCAAGGTGTTAAAAAACAAAAATTTGGAACTTGAACATATACTGTAGGTTCAGATAAGACGCACAAGGTATAATTCAGTATACCTTGATAAAATGAACAAAACATAAATTAATCTATCTTTTTAAACAATTGTAAATGAGTCATCTGCTCTTGTTCCATTTTCAGCTATTGGAAACTTCGTTTCAAGCAGAATATAAAAAGACAAACGTTTTTAAAAATGAACCGCATTTTCTCTCCTGTACGATTAGTCGACTCTCCGTCTGCGATTAATAAAGCTTGTAGTTCAGTTCAGTGCTATAAATTAAAATTTCTTTCCAATGAACATTTCTAAGGCCATATTCAGTTTATTGTAACTCTAGTTCTAATGTTCATGCTATTTGCATATCACGTGAAAGCGTCCGTCCAACCACAAACTCCATGTTCCCAGTACTGTAATTAGTTAGAAAAAAATACATATATATAAGGATAATTTGTCTTCATCAGTGACTGGGTTTTATGTTCCTTATTGCTCTGAGGTAACTTTAACACTACAGGAATGCCATGTCGTTTTCTGGAGTGATGTGAGGGGTTTTCAAAGGGGTTTTCGTCAGAAAATCACAGAAAATGGAGGGATTGGGAGGGGATATCCCTTCATCACAGCGCAGGACTTTCTTTTCTACTGCTTTTGAGGCTCATTCAAGCCGAGCTGCACCAGGCTCGTCGGTTTATTCATTTGGCGATAGATCAGACTCGCTCGGCCCAGATTCAATAAAACCCTATACGCCTCTTCAAAGTTCCGCAGCGTCCGCAAATACGTCTATCGGTTACAGCTGTCATTTTGGGAACAGTTATTATGGTTGCAAACTCCCACACAGTGCCGGATTTCAACGGAGCGTGATGAAACACAATGCACACGAGTCTGTTGGTGGACATTCCGAGGACATGTATATGGATATTTCAGGTTTTACCGGCAATAATATGCACTGCAGCGAATTTCCCGGGAGAGCAAAGGAATTTACCGTCTACCAAGGATATACAGGTTCCTACGCACGGTTCCCTGGCTATATCGATGTACCTGTAGCACCAAGAACTGGTGTTGGAGATTCAAGGCATGAGACTGTTTTACCGATTGAGGGTTATCAACCATGGACCTTGTCAAAGAGCTGGAACAGCCAACTTTATTGTGCCAAAGAACAAATGCCCAACTCGCATATCTGGAAGTCGTCACTCACAGGTAGGCTGTAATTTCCTTGTGCATTTTGACCATGAAATAGAATAGATTCCATGTGTCTTATAAAGAGAAACTACAGCGACAGAACTGTAAAAGACTGGTGTAAGACGACTTAAAACTACCCAAGTGTCTTAATTATACCGACAAATACTCAACTTTGACATTTCTAAAGTAACTTACAAGATTTTGGCATAATGATTATGTTTGGGGAAATGAAAAATAAAGAAAATAAGGAATAAATCAGCACCGCGATTATCACCAGGAATAGACAGTTAGAAAATGGATGTGTGGAATAAATACGTTTGTACCAATATAGGTGAACAAGGAAATGCATGTAATTTTTTTAGCATATACACAATATAATAATAATAAACCTGGTGGAAATCTTACCGTGTAATAATACCGTGTTACTTATATTGTCCGGGCAATAGACTAATATACATTATGTATGGGTGACTGGAATAAACGTTCTGCGTTCAGTAACAAGAACCTATAAAAGATTGAAAAAGCGTATTTTAAGGACACGATAAAACTTGTTTTGAGAAAAAAAAATCATGCCGTTTGAATAATGAGACTTTTCTTAAAGTCTCATCTGATTTTGAAGGTGCGATGAGCTTTAAAAGTAAAATAAAACGGGCTTGCGGACAGACTCAATACAACTTTATCCGAATGACAGAATAGGAAATAATTACTTTTAAAAAATAACAGCAAGTCAGCCAAGTCCATCCTTGCGGTGATGTCCCTAGGCGCTCCGTAGGCCGAATACTGACTGATCCCCCATTGTCGTTTAAGTGTCGGATCTGCAAACTTCTTTTAGTAAATACGTTAAATAACATTAACTAATGTCATAACACAGAGCATATATTTACGTGACAAACCAGATTCAGTTGATTATACTTTAAAAAACAGCACGCTCACCGAATTTTTTAAAAAAAGTTTTAGGCCCTGAAAAGTTGCAAGAGTGTATTTAAAATCTTGAGGTGACGCTGGAGAATATTAAAAAATTAAGATATTGCAATAATATTGTCTTTTTTTTCTCTCATTCTGGGGCTACGACGCAAAACAAACGGCTTTCCATTTTCGTCTTGAAGGAGACGTGGTGCTAAATCAAGCAGATGTCAGCGCGTACCGGCGTGGGAGGAAGAAAAGAGTGCCCTACACAAAAGGCCAGCTCAAGGAGCTTGAACGAGAGTACACCCTCAGTAAATTTATTACCAAAGATAAAAGACGGCGAATCGCTGCGTCAACCAACCTGTCTGAAAGACAAGTCACAATTTGGTTTCAGAATCGCAGGGTTAAAGACAAGAAAATATTATCAAAACTCAAAGACTTTGAAAAATATTCATAAATCTCTTCGACTTATACACGACAAAGCTTTTAACTCTTTCTCTTATTTATTCAGTCAGCTTTAAAGTCAAGCGCTCTATTATGCGGAAAACGGTATTTGTCTACCATTATGAGCCATTATTCTTTGTTGTATATGTGTGTGTGTATATATATATGTTTATGTACTGTACAAAGGTTTTATACATGTATGCGTTGCTCCATGTCTGTTTTTGTGTCGATTTGTGACATTAAATCTATAGTGTGTAACAAGTATATGTGTACTGTAAAAATACATAACACCGTCTGTGACTATATATCTGCACACACACTTGTTTTGTGTTTGTTTGTAACATTAATAAATGTCTTACAAGAACTTTATTTGGTTTGTGGTTAATAGGATTTCCATATTGAATAGCAGTTGTTTTAGTTTAGGTTAATCCGAATATATAGTAATACTATGAGGTTATTACTTTTTCCGTCTTTAAGGGATATATTTTAGGTTGGTCCTTTTAACCCCATGTTTTTTTTCCTAAAAAGTGAATTGGGAATAAAATCGGGTATGCCATTTTTCCATCTCGAATTGATCAGTAGTAAAATATTATATTTAATGTATTCCTGTGCTTTATCTGTAAAACAGAAACATTAATACTAATACTTAAATACAGACGCTAACGAAGAGAAACAATTAGCGTCTTTTTAATAATCACAATGAGGTTTCAAATTATTCAAAATCCTGTTTTCTTTGAAAATAAAAAAAAATATTCTAACATCCCTTCTTCAGTCTTTACGGTATTCTAATTACTTATATTTACGCTATGACTAATGGCCTGCATTTCAGTTTGATCAATATTTTGTAATCTAATGTTGGTATAAATACAAATACATATGTAGCATACATTTATATATGTAGTTCAGGTGGGTACTGTAGCTGCATCAGAATACGTAGGCTGCAAAGGAACAAGTAATAGGTTTATTCCATGCTGAAAAGAGAAGAAAGAAAACAACGTTTCGTCCGTGGAGCGTTCTTCAGGCGTCAATATGTGTATATGTAGCTGCTTACTAGTAAATGGGTTTTCATAGATTAGTTAATTTCGTAAAAACAATTAATTTATTAAATTTTACTAATCTAATATTTATTTTAGATATTAATTTCTGCCAACAATTAAAATTGCGAATAATATCTCAACTACAACTTCGGAACTTGAAGTGGAAAACTGTAAGATCCAGTCCAGTGATTTTCAAAAAGTTCTCCCTGCTAATGTGGATGTGTGTTTTAATTTAAATGTTAGATCGGCTGCTAAAATGTCCCTTTTCGAGGCTTTAATTTCAAACTTTTACATTATTTATTCAATAAAACTATGTTCCTTAACCTTCCTTTTGCGTTCTTTTACAATTACACGCTCCTGGGATTAACTGTAAAAGTTGCAGGAACATGAAAACGACGAAGAGTTATCCAAAATAAAAGTTATTTAAATAGTGGCTGTATTGAAAATATAATTTACATACCTTTGTAGCTATTCCAAACGAAATAATTTTATGCCGATTTCAGCTTCCTCTAAAGTTTATTTGAACTGAATTTAATCATGAAGATGGATAAATGTCCTATTCATTCACTTCTGAGGTTAACAATGTCCTGAAAATAATATCCTTGTAAGTCTTATACTGATACAATAATTACGCACAGAATTGCTGTATCTTACACATTTACGAGTTGTTTTTAATTAACTACTTTTTTTCAAATCATTTGCCTCTTTTAAAAACATATTCTTTAAATTTTTAAATGTGAGAATGCTGAAATGGTGTCTCTAAAGTAGTAGATTGTTCCGCCTCCTGGTATCCTCTTACTTTACCATTGACCTTGACATACATTTATAGTGTTTGACCTTGACTTTATTCCTATTCATGAATAACGAGCAGTCTACAATTCATGAGGCTATTTCGCCATCTACTGGTTCGGATGTGTCAAAGCTAAGAAATGGCTGTGGAGTGGTAATGTGGATGCAAAGAAACCGGTTCGGCATTATTAAGAAAAAGAACATCTACACATATTGATATTTAAACCACTAAATTATCTGAAGCATATTTTGGTTTGTTTTTTTATATAATAAAAATAAATAAACACAAGATCAGTCGCTCTCTTTTATTTATTTTACGCACTGAAATGTCTTTATTTTTCAATATTAACATTGCCAATGTCTCCTTTGTTAAATATGTGAAAATATATATTTTTTTATACTTAACATTCTTCAAATTCGTTGTTTATTTTTCTTTACGGTTACATTCTCTTTGATTATTTTTTCCCGTTAAAACACATTTATTTTCCAGTTAAAAACAATAAAATAGTTCAATACGAAATAAAGCAAGCTGATTTTTACTGAAAAACAAATAAAAGTACGTGTCGCTGAGAACTAATCTCAGTGCCCCCTTAACTCTCATATTTGTTACACATTTATTTCACTTGTTGAATAAGCAAGTATTTTATTTTTTCAACAAACAACATACAAAAATCAGAAGTCATAATTACAGAATTATAATTAATAATTATAAGTTCTATAATTAAGAAGGAGCTGATCAAACAACGAATGACAATTGACATTTAAAGGGAAACAGTACGTCGGTGTAAAATAGTTGAAAAAAGTCGAGAAAGTGAGATCTGTGATATTGAACTACTAATTAAACTTAAAATTAACTTTATTAATGAAAAAATGAAACAATTAGAGTAAAACGATACACGTGTTTGTTTGTTTTTCTTCTGGTCTGTAGAGTTCACATGGAGTCTCAAAATTATTCCAGATTTTACAAGACTCGTGAAAACAATTTAGGCCTGACTGTCGCCTTTCTTTCCGGGGATGAGCTGATGACATATTGTCTCTTCTTGGAAAAGATTTTACCCTCTTTTCTTCATTTGTAAGTTAAAATTTATGTGAAGGATAAAATCACTCACAGAGGAAGTATAATTATGAGGTTATAAATAAATTCTCTTCTGATCCATTATTTTCGCGAGGAGAACATACTGAATTTTTCGTTCGGATCATAGTTCAACAACTCAATGTAGCCTAAAATCCACCAGCCAGCTATAAACATTAATCTTTAGTCGTAAATTCGAATCCAATTGAATTTCGAAGTCTTGTAAGAAGGGTTTGTAAAGATGGATATTTCGTAGCTAATACTGGGGATGGGTTAAATAAAACCGTGTTTCTCATTATTATTAGCAATATAGATTTTTTTTTCTCCAGAACAGTTGCTCCAGAAAACTGTTGAACCAAACCCAGTCAGTTTAACTTGGAGTGTAACAGCTGCAGTTTTTATTTTCTGGTGCTGTATTTGTTGAGTGGAATTTGTCATTGGCAGTTGTTCATTTTTGTTAAAATGCAAGCTGAATAAGATGGGTTGGGAAGCACATTTTCTTAGTAATTACAAGAAACAGCTTTGACACGACGACGATAGGCTGAGGATCATGTTTGCTTAACAAATAATAAACTACTTTAAAACGTATAAGAATGCACATTTCCTTTAAAAATATTAAAAACCCCGTAATAATAATAATAATATTGATTATTTTGCTGTCGTTTTGTCAGTTTATAGTTAATGCATTTTAACCCATATAAATTCACCCTAAATATTGGTTAGATATCAGTAGGTTAATAAGTACATATTACGTATGCGAGCAAGCAGTGGTTAAGTCCAGACTGAAAGCTACAAAGAAAACACATCAGGTGTGCGATACATTTCTTATAATAACTTAAAATCGGGTTAGCATTTGGAAAAGATTTTGTAAGAAAAAAATACTTGAAGGCTTTTTGAACCTAAAAAATAAACCATTTGGATCAATTGTTGCGGAAGAGGAAAAACGCAAACATTATGTACGAAGTTAAATTTGGTAAATTAAAAGTTAAATAGCTTAGCAAGGAATTGTACTTTGACTTTAGAGTGACTGATAGAAAACTAGTGCATGCTTGCTTTTGGAGCTTGTCCTACCCCAATGCATTTTGAGACATTTTCTTCGGTAAAAAGTACTAAAAAATGAACCGTATTCTCCAATCCTTAGAGGCCTCAGAACAATTTAAGTGGCATGTTTTGCAGCAATTAGAGTAAACAATGCCGTGAGCTTTTAATAATCACTTTCATTTTTATAAAAGTATATTTTTTATCGTTGTTTTATTTGTTTGTTGAACAAAAGTGAAAGAGATGATATCGGATGAGTTTCTTTACACCACAGACAACAGTAAAGCCACGAGCATGAAGCTGGAAGAGGGGGTTAAGGCGGAGCTGAAAAGCAACGTTTGCAGAGCACGTGACGCACGTTTAGCAAATCATCAATTACCTTCTTTAATTCTTGAGGAGCAGCTAAAAAGGGCCATGAGAAGGCTTTGTGCAGCTCCTCGGAAATGTGTGAGCGCAATCTTCTCAATTCTGGCTATGTTGGGTCTCTGTTGAATTTCCCCTCTCCGGACTCCTTTTATTTCCCAAGTTTGCGGGGGAATGGAGCGCAGCTTGCTGGTCTTCCCCCGATATCCTACACCCGGAGAGAGGTGTGCTCGCTCCCGTGGACTTCCCCAAGTTCGTGCGCATCTCCGCCACAGAGCCGCGCCTACAGCGGCTATTGTCAGTCCTTTCTGACCAATTCATTACCTCTAAGTACCAATCCTAACCACCACAACAAGGGACCACTGGAAGAATCGAGTAAATACTACTTCCAGGATGCAGACCTCAAAGCAGAGGAGCGATGTAGACAAGCGCCATCTTTTGCCGGTGAACAAGAAGTTATCAGCTCTTCCATCTCCACTAAATCCGAATTTTCTAACTTGGATAGACAAATGCAGAGATCAGCAGTCCATGCTGACCTGAGCATCAGTGGCCAACCAATTACAGATGGCATCAAGCCGGCTTTCAACTTAGATATGACAATGCAGTCATCTTCAGGTCATTCATGTGCAAGAGCAACCGTTGCCGATGGTACGAACTTCTTCATCAACATTTTCTAAACTTGATGTCAACCTTAAAGAACACACAGCTCCTTTTGTGTGGGTATGTTTGTGTATGTAGGATGAAACTGTTTGAAATACAGTAAGACGACTGCTTACGAAGGCTGTTTGTACATTTGACTGTATCTGAATATGCAAGTGGAGCTGAATTGAATATCTTTGTGGCATTTTCCTGCAACTATATAGACACGTGGAGTGAAAGAGTGAGAAGCAGAACGCAATTATTGACCTATTTTCACGAAATTGTTTTCATGTTTACAGGTCCGCCTTGGTGTCCTTCGCAAATGAGGACGAGAAAGAAACGGAAACCTTATACAAAACAACAGATTGCTGAACTTGAGAGTGAATTCCTGCTGAACGAATTTATCAATAGGCAGAAAAGGAAGGAGCTTTCGGACAGGCTGAATTTAAGCGATCAACAAGTCAAAATCTGGTTTCAGAATCGGAGGATGAAAAAGAAAAGACTTGTCACGCGAGAGCATGCACTCTCGATATACTAAATCATAAATGACCACACTGCAAGAGACTCATTTCCAGTACAGGAAATATTTTCGAGAGCCAGATGTATGTACCACAGACAAATATATTTGGTAAAATATTTTGTCTGAAACTCTTCATAACGTGTAAAAATACTAGAATCATAAAAGTAACAATTAATCAGAAGAGTTTTACACCTCACAGGTGCTGCTGTATCTTAAAAGCTGGGAAATGGGTACCTGTCATTTAATTATAATTGTGCCATTCTGTTGTTTTTTTTATTATTCTGATGTAGGAATGAAGTAGGAATCTATGTTTATATTATGCGAATTTAAGTTAAAAAATATTTTTAGTCAGGCATGCAATCTGTATTTAACTATATAACACATTTTTTACACTTTCTTTTACTTTGCAAAACTGTTTGCAAAATATTACGAAATATTTAATTGTAATTTAAACTGAATGTGCTGATTGCACGTCTGTTACCTGTATCTACATTTGCAAGCTATCGTTATATTCGCTGTCTTTGTATTTTAAACACTTTTTTTGGAAAAAATAAAGACAATAAGAAGTATGAGAGAAACGCAGACCAAGAAACTCTTTAAAATTCATTACTTCTAATCATGTTTATTATTTTGAAAAGTACATGACATATATGTTTGAATGTTTTATAGTAAGCTTTTGTCTGTCAGTAATTCCTATTTTACCATTATTTGATCCACCTCAGATTAAAAGGAAAACGTCTGACCATCAATTTATTTAGTATTATGGAAATTGAAGGGTCTCTTGTCTAAATGATGTGTTAAACTAAACAATTATGATTCTGGTATGAAGATAATTTGTTTAATGCAATATGTTTTTAGGCTCATGGATGGCGTCAATGTCAGGTGCATAAATCGTTAAGACATTGGAAATGAAATTAATTTTCCGCCATCTCCAAATATCCCGTGCTTAGTGCAATATGTACAATTAATTTCCGGTCAGTGCCGGTTAGTGGTTTTCCAGTGTGTTTATTTTGACTAAAATGAGATTCTTTTTCTAAGGCCAGTTTCATTTTAGAGATCTCATGTTTAAAATAAATCTCTTTTAATCGATACAGGTTCACGTACGTGTGCGTGGTGTCATCTATCACTGTGTTCGCGTTACGTTCGAGGTTTTGATTCATGTATCATTTTTCTTTAATCTTAATATTCGTCTTAAAATATTTTTTATGGCTGTTATAGAAATTTGATCACGAAAACATTAACAATTAAATATAACATCAATATCTGTTGTTAGACTGAAACTCACAGCAAACATGACCTTAGAACTGATATATTCTAACACACCAGGTATCATTAATACAACCCTTTCGGTCAATTCTTACATATTAGTATTTTATTTACATATTACCCTTGCAAATTCTGGCAAAATCAAAGGAATTTGATTAATTTTACCTTCCTTTTTAGATTCATATATTTAAAATTGAGATCCAAAGAGCGAATAATCTGTTTATGTAGTAACAGAAATAGCAAAAGATCCGTTGATCACATCATCTAACAGCATTTTGCAGCATTTTAACTTGATGAGACTCATATTCTTACTTAAATAGATACAATTAAATATTAGTTACTTTCTAGGGGGTTTTTTTAGACTTAGAAAGGAAAAAAATGTATCACAGATCTTGTATCTACACGAAAAATGCATACTAAACATTATTTTAATCGATTCGGTTATTGTGTATTATTCCTGCTTTCCAGTATTATGTCCGACTGTAGCTGGGAGTTAAATCTTAGTATTAAATTATTGTTTTTAACTGTTTCTACCCTTTGAGTGCCTTGTGGATACACAAATGCAAGTGTGTTTTAGTAATGCATACAATTATTTTAAAGATAATCAAATTAAATATATTTTTAAACGAAACAAATTCTAAGCACAAGTGTTGTAACGTATTATTTTTCTTATTGGGTGTCTTTGATTTTTTTTTCAATCAAACAACATCTTCGTATCTATGTGTGTATGAACATTTCTAGATGGGACGAACGCCTACATATTTCCATACATGTAAATAGCATGTAAACGGTTATCATAAAAAAATCCTATTCCGTTTAAAAAACAAAAGAGCAAAGATAACATTTATAGCTATGAGTGCACATTGAGATACAAACGAAGGCCATATTCTAACAGACAAAGCAACCACAAACAAATATATAACATCATTAAACAATGTGCAAGTTATAAAAGACGGGACATGACGTAGTTGTCCTGCACCTCTGTCATGGAAAAGCGTAATTTTAGCTGCATAATTGTGAAATGAAAAAAAATGGAGACAGATTTTCTATCATGGGGTCTCTTAATGTGAACTGCCAGACGGTGTCTGTTCATGTTCTTCAGATACTGGGGGCGCCATAACAAAGTTAAGGTCAAGTTAGTGTCTTATCCTGTAGTGAAAAAAAGGCGAGTACACCTTGCCTTGTTTTTACTGACAACCCAGTTTTTAAACCTGCCTCGTGTGTCATGAAAATCTGACTCAGTGCCCCAGGTGTAGATCCAATTCTAATCCTCCTGTAGAAAAGTATTTATTATTATTTATTAATAATATGGTTAATTATTATTATTTGGTATAATTCATTCAAAATTATTAAATAATTTCTCAAATGAAAACACAACAAGTATCCAGTATCTTTTGTGCTTCTTGTACTTTATTTAAAATAATACAGATCACTGCGGTTACAAGGATTGCTTTGGTAAATGTGTATATGTAGGTGACCTGACTACTTGAAATAGGTAATTGCACACGTTTAATGTCCTGGTTCTGGCAAGTAGATAATTAGAAATAACTTGATTTCATCTTGTTACTTTTGTAAAAAAAAATAAGGATGAAAATCAACTGTGCCTCTTACAGTTCCAGTTCAGATTTTATAAGTAGATGAATACATTAATGTTGAAAACTAACCACGAGTATCCTGTAGAGCAATGGACACGCGCGCGCACACCAATCAGTATGGGTAGTTTTTACAATTGCTTTAACTACATTTCCAGTTATTGCTCCCATCTTCATTCTCCTCACGTTCTCACAACCAATTTCCAACCTATTAATTATGAATACATTCGTTGTTTCTATGGGAAAATACAGAACCGCATTCCGCGGCTATCACAAATAGTTGATGTGCTTCTTGTGAACGGGTTACTTTAATCTGCCTAAATTGTATTTCGATTGCGTTGAATTTAATTTAGTGGTTTTGAACAAAAATGAAGCCCGGGTCGGAAATCTTCCACTTCTAACAGCCCTGTTGCCTTTCGGTTACTAACGAGCACGTCGCGGGATTTCCAGGCACAATTATTTCTGAAAGCATTAATCAAAGTAATTAAACAACTATTAAATAGTTTAAGTATATAATAGTGACTGTGGGTATCAGTTAAGCAAATAAACAACCGCAGTTTCTACAGTCTAAGTGTTTTTCCAACGTGTTTCAGGGCCAGGGGTGTAGTTATGTGTTTTACAATTTTGAGCAATTGCAAAAAGGCTCCGAAATAACACATATAATATACGAAATAATAACAAATAGATAAAATAAAACAGCAAAAAATAAAAAAACGACTTTTGCCGCTTTTGAAGGTATTTATGTACAAGGTACAATTTATTAAAAATGTGCGCGTATACGCATCTACATTTTTTATTCGATTTCGCTCCAATCAGTTGTCTCCAATCAAGACAAAATCACTATTCTGCTTGCTAAAATCTAGAGGGTTTCAGTCAGGGTTTCGTTTTATCTGTTACGCATAGTTTAAATAATTATTTTGGTTCATTGGTTTCCACCTCCTTAAGAAGCTGTTTTCCTCCAACTTCAACTCAAAATATCCTTTCTTGTCATGCACTTAAACTAGAACGCTTCCTTTTGTCTGAGCAATAAACTCGTTTGAGGGCTGACGGTTATTGTTGATTGTGGGTTGCGCATCGTCTCAGACCAAAGACGTTCAAAGCCAGGAGACTTGTTTTGTACTTGGCAGTGCGACTCCATTTCCAGCTATTCTGATACTGAACTCCCGGCGGGTAATTGCTGCGTTGATTTCGGAATTCTGGGAAAACTAACCCAATTTTATCAAGATTATATAACTCCAGCATTTAACGAAGGTTAAAGTACATTGGGGGTAAAGTACATTTTCCTGTTTTGTATGACTGGAAACAGAAATTGCCTACCTAGAATGCTTAAAACAACAAAGTTGTTTATATTGATATATTAACGTGCGTTTACTATGGTAACCGATATAATATAAATCAAGTTTCCACTTTATCTTTGTACATGCTCTTGTTTTTGATGAGTGAGAGTTGCATTCTAATTTTATAAATATATGTTTAAGTGTTGTGTACGATATTAACACATACTGTATAAATACCGTAAACAATACCGTGATATATCGTAAACAATAGTATTTTATATGACAATGACTTATATATTCTGTCAGAAAAAAAGGGGGCGAAACTCAGAATGTATGTCTTTCAGGGAACACAAGCTTCATCTGTTTTGCTATTTACGAATATTTCCGTTCTGTAGAAATTAATTTCACCAATTTATTTCACTATATGTAAAATATAATAGAGTTTATGTTACCATAACACAAAAGTAATGCATTTCATTTTTTGCTTGTTAACAAATCGTTTTGCAACATTGGGTATCTGAAAATATTTGTGGGTTTAGTAAGATCCTTATGAAATACAAAAATGTTGGGATATATTTTCATGTGGAATTCTTAATAGTACAGCTGCAGTAGAAATTATGCCATTCTTGAAGTATGCTCATGCTATCTGTTGAAATGAATTGCAAATGTCCTAAAGACTCGCACATACCTTTCACGTGTCTGTAGTTGTTTTTAAATAATTCAGAAAGGAAGGTATTATTTGAATTTTGCTTTATACTTAAAACTGAAATGTCTTCCCATTTTGATAAGCAATCCTATATATAATACAAGACTGACGACGTTTTATTAAGTAGTATGCTGGACAAAAGTATTTCAAAACATATGACTAATATTTTTATAAAGTTTTTATCTCATATACTGTTTTACCTAAACAGAAATTTACAAAATATTTAGCAAGGGTGTAGCCTTTGGACTGGAGAAATGGGCAAAGTTTTGCTAAAAATCCTCATCTCTTTTTATTTCTGGGATTGTTTACACCATCTTAATTCGTGGAAAAAAATGTAAGACTTAGATTGGATTTTCTGCAAGATCAGGCAACCAATGAACTCACTGGTACGCTCGCATACGGGTTGCTTAAGATACTTCTTAATGACTGATATTGATATATGGTAATTTCTTTACTGGATCACATGACACAATTACCTCAAGAATCGATCAAGATGAATTGCACGTCAGCTTACGTTTCCGACTTTTTTCCCCTCTCGGGTCCTGTCCACACGCCTATAGTGCAATAGATGGACAAAGTTTAACACACTCAACACTGCTACTCACAAAGCGAGAAGAAGAAATGACGGAGTATGATGATCGCAGCAACTGTGCGTCAAATATGTATTTGCCGAGTTGCACCTATTATGTATCAGCGCCCGATTTTTCGTCTGTCTCTTCGTTTTTACCTCAGACTACATCATGTCAAATCAATTTTCCTTATTCTTCTAATATCACACAAGTGCAACCTGTTCGAGAAGTTCCTTTCAGAGACTATGCTCTGGATCATCCAACTAAATGGCCTTACACTAGCAGTTTCGCTTCCTACTATTCAGCGGACGAGATAATGCATAGAGATCTACTGCAGTCGCCGAGCAGGACGGAAATGATATTCAAAAATGACTCCGTCTACAGCCATCACGGCAGCTCAAATCCTTCAGGTAATTTGTTCACCAGTGTTGGCAGAAATGGAATTCTTCCTCAAGGGTTTGATCAGTTTTTCGAGACTGGAAATACTCATCCCGAGAAGTCCAACTCCGACCACTTCAAACAAAAAACAGAGCCCAGTTTCCCCGGAGATGCTGGGAGCAACAGACTGACTTCGGAGAGTTCACAGCAGAAGAAACAGGATCCAGCTGAAAACATCGAGGACGATTCCTCTTCATCTAACTGCGCGGAGGAGAAAAACATCGCCTCAAGTAAGTATAAGAATTGAATCAGGGTTATAGAGGACATGTCTAGTACTTTGTCAGGCTGATTTTACGTGCAACTTTATAAGCATGCAAAGGTTTTTATATACCCTATAAGATTTGCTTTACTGTTGTAAAAATATTTACGATGGGAAAACAATTTAGGTGGGCTTCACCGATATTACTAATACATATTGCTTCTCAAAACACTATCTAATGGGCGTTTCAAAATATGTGGCAAGACATGTGCGAATTTTTACATTAAGGAAATAAGCCTTAACACCTAATAATATATATTTCTCTGTAGAAATGTATTCTGTAGAAATTCGAGCCACATTTTCTTTAACGATATGATTTCCTCCTCACTTTTAATAATGTGTATTGAATATTGTATTGTCTCTATACAGACATACAGAGGTTATATATATATATGTTATGGATAGACAGATACATGCATACAAAGACATAAATTGTGTTGGGTTATGAGACGTAATGAGCCTTTTTATACTGATTAATTCATTTCATTTTACTTTTAAAATAATTGCATTTTCTATGGCGACCATTGATTTTGATACACTTTCTTTCTTAGGTTCTTTGAAGTCGAGAAAGAAACGATGTCCATATTCCAAATACCAGATTCGAGAACTTGAACGAGAGTTCTTTTTCAACGTGTACATTAACAAAGAAAAGCGCCTGCAGCTGTCCAGAATGTTAAACCTAACAGATCGACAAGTGAAAATCTGGTTCCAGAACCGAAGAATGAAAGAAAAAAAGCTCAACAGGGATCGGTTACAGTATTTCACTGGAAACCCTTTATTCTGACAATTTGAACCCTGATGAAAGCGCACATACTGCCTGCACCTCCAAAAATGGGATTGGTTTTATTTGTTGCGGTATCCTAAATACAGGATTTTAAGAACACGACCTTTTAACTCAGCTAAGTACTTTGAAAATTAAAACCTGACTTAATTCTATTTCCTATGCAAACCTCAGAGCGTGTGGTACGAGCAGGTTAACACTTTTACCTCGAGACGGAAGCGGATTCATTACCCAGATTTTAATTTAATTGATTCTGAATTTCTCTCAAGCAAACAATTAAGTAATGACAATCCACGTGTTATGTCTTTGATAAAAAGCTGGTGAACGCCGGTCTTTGTATTATTGTTGTGTATTCTGTTTTCTATTTATTTTATCGATTTATTTCATTGACCATCTTGCAACAAGAGACATTTATGTTCATGGCAATGCCCAGTGTGTACTTTTATTATGGTATGTAAACATTTATTTCATTGACGCATGTGACTTGTACAAAATTATTAAAATAAAGTTTAAAGGAGGATTATTTAAGATGTGTGAATCAGCCGAAGCACTGGCTGCAACGACGCTCACTCCACTACACACACTTTTTCAAAGCAACTTTTTGAAACGGTTCATTTACTTCACGCGTAATGCAAGACAGCACTAGGCTGTGTGGCAAAACGTCAGTAGCTTTAACGTACGGAAGAAACAAGGGTGTAACAAACGTGTTTGAAGTTCAATATTATGAGTAAAAAAGAGGAACAAAACAGCACGTAGGTGAATATTCCCGATCTGTGGAAGTTAGTTGGCCTACATTAATGGCAGAAGTCTTTCCCCTCTTTATATTGTTGTGGCAGTGAAGCTATTTACAAAACCTTGAACCGTCTAGACAATACAATAAAGACCCTAGTTGTAAATGGCTAAATTGGGGGTTATTGCACCTTCTGGTCACTCCAAAAAGACCTTCCGTATTCGGCTCACTCTAAGAACCCGAGGGGATGAAGAAAAGCAGGCTCACATTGCGAAACGTTAACGGAAATTTAGACAAAACGTCTGGATATATGCATCGAATCACGTGAAACGGGGGATCGAAGTCTCCGGTCTCCAGACAGTAATTGCATACAAATGAAAAATCCCCGTAACGTCGATAGGCACGTCTAAGAACAAAGGCGGATTCGAATATTAGGTTTCATAACGAGGGACATTTTTCAGAACTTATAAGTTGGCAACATTTTTTAGAATTTGTCTTTGAACTTCCGTAACGTCAAGGTCGTCACCTTTAACCCTTCTGAAAAGTAGGCGCCTTTTGGCTGTTCTCGTAGTTAGACGACTCCCTCCGAACAATATCTGCACTGCAGCTAAGGGCGTCCGAATTGCGTGATAACGGCGTGTCCCGACGGATTAAGGTGCACAATCTTTACAACAGTAATACAGTCTTGCCAAGAGAAGTCTGATTTCATATGGTTACCTTCAGTTAAGGATAAAAGCACGTTTTGGACAACGAACTCTGCCATTATTTCATACTACTGACTGTCAGTATGAAAAACCGTCATTTCCAACCCGCACACAAATGGAACATGAGTGTTGTCAATTCACAATACAAATTTTAAAAGTTTATTTTCTTTTTCATATTATGCACGGCATTGCACAAAACCAACACGTGACAAACGAAGAATATTTGTGGGAGCGTGTGCTTTTACGTGTATTTCTGTTGATAGGTTTTTGCAGATGTGAGCCATCTTAATTTCGAAAAAATCATTTGTTTTCATGTATTTAATGTTTTGTAGCACGTAAAACACTTATATTTTAACCAGAGGTTTTTTTTCCCAATCCTACATATTTTGGTGCAAAATAATGGAGTAATGGATGTAAATAAATGATTTGAATGGTTTCAGAGAAATGTGGCAGGTTTGGAAACGGAACAAATGATTGTCAGCGCACAGGAAATGTTTGTAAAATACACGTATCCCTTGTAAGTAGCTATGGTCGTGAAGGTAGAGATCCTGGCTACACACGAAGAGACGCACACAAACAAAAAAGTGGACAGAAAAATTAGAAAGAAAAATAGGTGATCCGAATTTATGTCCCAGTGTGTGCTAAATAGAAGTAGGAAACTACTACAAAATAGGCCTAAGTAAGCTTTGCAATGTGCAGCCTTGACTAAGAAGTACCAAGTTTATTTTTACAGCATATTGAGTCAATAGAGCTTTGATATTTAACAGGGTTTTTGTTTTTGCTTTAAATAGTATTTTACCCACGTCTTTTTGCAGCAGGCTCTCGTAAACTGCTGCTATATATAGAAGTCAATATTTATTTTATCCACACGAGGGCGTGCTTCCAGCGAAATTAATAATCTGAAATAAAAGAACCCCCTTTCTATTATTATTATTATTATTATTATTATTATTATTATTATTATTATTATTATGTTTGGTGTTTGGTGATTTGTCTAATAGGAAGTATTCTACCATAACACGGATGAGGTTCTTTGTGCTGTATTTTGTGCTATATTGCAACCGGTATTTTCATTTCTGCCTGAAGAACCCCGGCTGTTTTTAGCTTCTTTTAAAACAGGGTTATCCTGTATCGTTTCCATCTGTATTGAGCCATTTTTGAGCAGTGTCTAAGCTTGGTGACATTAAAAGCATGAAAGACACCTCAGCGTTTTCCCCGTTAACACGAAACTAAAACATAAAATTATAAGTTGCAAAATTCTAATACATTAACCCGTATAAACACTTTAATATACAGGTAATATACCTTAAGTTTATTTCTCAAGACTAAATATTATTAGGGAATGTTTTGAGGCGAGCTACAAAGTACATACCGGTGTATTTGAAGGACATTAGGCGCCGCTGTTTAAAGGCCTTTTTGAATTATAACTTATTTAAAATAACCTTTTTTAATTCCGAAAATTATTTAATTTCATTACGTTAATTGATACTAAATGCTGTTTATCGTACGCCTAAGGTAATATATTTATTTCGGCATTAATATTATTTTCAATAACAAGTTATTTTTAAAAGGATTACATTTAAAACAAATCTATATTCTCTTAAAAGCACCAAGACGTCAGCCCCACCGGCGTCAATTTTTAGAATAAGGAAAAATTAATCCAACAAGAAATTAAAAGCAAGCACACGGAGGCATTAGCCAATATTTGCCCGTCAACGAAGTCCTAAACGATAATGCACGTCTATTCAAAATCGATTATTTTTTTAAATATTTATGCATATGATTTTCGTTTAAATAATTTAAATGAGTACAATATCTGAAACGAAATGCAAAAAACAAGAAATTATACTGTTCTAACATTCAATAAAAATGTATCCTGTTTCCTATATATACATCCTATTATTTTCTATTTAAGAATCTAATTGTAGATGTGATTTTTTTCGATGATATTTGGATGGGTAATCCCGAATGTGCAGACAATGCACATTGTATACACACTGTTTAGGAATTATTTATATTGAAAATAAAAGTTACTGTTGTTGTTGTTGTTGTTTTGGTCAGCAAGACGCATAAGGTACTTTTAATTTTCGAGAAAAGCATTTTATTTCATTGGAAGGAAAATGTTGAATTCTCACACGAAGAGCGTTACGTATTCGTTGCGTTAACAATATTAATGTGGGAAATCAAACTAAAATGTATTCAACAACGAGAAGCTGACTTTGTTATTTTTTTCTAACGTTTTTTTTCCCGTAGTGACCCTTCATTTTCGATTTGAAAGGGAATTTCGACACTGTAATGAACTTCTAGTAGTTTCACATGTGTCTGATTTTTTTAAACCTTTGGCACGACCTACACTCTCCTACATTTGTTTTAAAAGTGTTTCCTCTGTCATTAGTATTGTTATCTGAGGTTAACTTTAAGCCATGGTTATTAAATTGTTGGTCGTGTATCCTTCTGTAGTTTATGATATGGGTAGGCGTTGAGTAATAAAGAATTCAATCTTGGCATCAGTTCAGAAGTATTTTAAAACCTCAGCACATCATAGCGTTCTGCACTGGGACACTGGGGCAATTTATTTTTTTAAGTTGAAACTAAACAGTGGTTTCATCTGGACTTTGTATATTATTTATTATCTCTGTACTTTTGCTCTGCCCAGTTTGCCGATTAAAAAGAGAAAACCCTCGTCCACTTAAAGAATGTTTTTTTTTTATGTTCGCACTCCGAGGAACACTAAGAAAAGAAAAACTAGGAGGAAATTTAACTGGGTGTTGTGCGATTTTAACCACAAAGCACGTGGTGAAAACTCAACCCAGTATTTGTGCCAGTGTCTAATTTTGGGTTGTTGTAATGCTAATTTAAATTTCTTTTTCTTACGTGACACCTTTTCAGAAACGTGAAGGTAATGCTTTGCACGCAGAGCGTACATTTTTGCTATACGTCCGCAATGCATCAAAGAATTTAAGAATAATAATATGATAGTTTATAAAGAACTGCAACAAGTATAGTTTACAATATATTGCCTATTTGGGGATATGCATATATTAAGATACACGTAATGCAGAAGTACCATTGATATCATTCTCTGCAAAAGCACTCACAATCTTTTAAAATATTGATTGAAATAATTTGCTGCTTTAGGTGTGGCGTTCAATCTAATTTAAATTGCGCTACGAATATAGAAAATCGGGCTTTTCACGTCCGAATGCAAAATTGTATCTTACTAGACTTAGCTTTTTGTTTCCTTAAAACAGTCAAGCCATCTCTTCAGAGAAATCAATATGATATATTTCAATAATCCATAAGGTGAACACCATTTTGTGAATTTTAAGCTATTAATCTTATCTTTTACAAAGTCACAATTGATTTCTTCATAAAATAAGCTGAACGTGTGCTTTAACTAGGGGTATAATTCTATGAAAGCTTCAAGTGCAGAAAATTACATGGAAGCTCTGGAATGCAGATGAGAAATATATTGATCGGCCTGATTCTCCTTAATATGTTTTAATAAATTCAGCAACCTTTGATACTCCGGAAGTGTCTGGCACAAATGCTTTTACTTAGTCTATAAAAGCAAATGTATATTCACTTCAGAATTATAACAGAAATGGCGGAGTTCACAGAACTATAATAAACGCACTTGCATTCCAAACTATCCCATTCCAAAAGAACAGATTTGTTTATTTTATTTTTTCTTCCCGTGTATATTCCGTAATACAGATAACATATAAAATGTTCTGTGCCTTTTCCCCATATAATACTTAATACTAACAAAAAAAACACCAATCTTTTGGATATTCCAAGTAAATGTATCTTGCATTAACACCGAAATGGTATAAGGAACATTTTCAGATTGAACTTGAGGATTTTAAAATGAACAGCTGAGGGTCTGTCTCAAGCATATTTCCTGAACGTTTTCATGAATACATTTCACCGTGCCCTCCACGCGTAAAAACATGATATATTTTTATTTCTTTCGTCAAGTGAAAAGTGTTCAGTGCTGGAACAGTCTTTTGTCCGTCTTTAAAATCAATTTCAAGTCCGCGTTCTAGGTGTCGCTGTTGACCACACTTGAGATCCTCATCAAGTTCCACTGCGCCCACGTGACGTTAAAGGAGGCTGCGTCTCAAGGCCATTTTCAAATTTCATTGGTTTGGTTGTCATGTGGTAGCGGAGAGGCATCCCGAGTTACACGGGGATTGTTTTGCTAGATATGTCAGCCTACAAAGGACATCTCTCTCTTCTTTAAAACCTCTCCAAAATGTCCTTTCCCAACAGCTCTCCTGCTGCTAGTACGTTTCTAGTAGACTCCTTGATCGGTGCTTGCCGAACTGATAGTTTTTATTCCAGCAGCAATATGTACATGTCATCCAGCACAGAAATGGGAAGTTATGGAATGCAAACCTGTGGACTTCTGCCTTCTCTCGGCAAAAGGGGGGAAGTTAGCCACCAAAATATGGGCATGAATGTCCATTCCTACATACCTCAGATAGATAACTGGGCAGATCCGAGCAGATCGTGCAGAATAGAGCAACCTACCACCCAACAAATGCCCACTTGCACTTTTCCACCAAATATAAAAGAAGAAAGTAATTGCTGCATGTATTCCGACAAGAGAGCAAAGGTCAACTCTTCAGAAATTCCCGCTTATCCGAGCCTGATTCCCGAATCATGCTCAGTTGATAGTCCCGAAATCCCTGTGCCGGGATATTTCAGACTGAGCCAAACTTACGCATCTGGGAAAAATCAAGAATACAGCAATGCCTCTGAAACGAGTTCAAACACAATCCTGCAACTGAGCAGAGTTAATCCCAAATCGCAACTGTCTACTCTTGCTGAGGTGCAAAAGAAAATAACTGAAATTCCGAATAACCGAGATACCGCCAAGACGCCAACTCCTGTACAGAGCCCAGAACCAAAGTCGAGCTCGCAAGAGGAGAAGAACTGTTCTACTGAAGCGTCTGCCTCCAGCCCAGAAGTACCAGACAAGGACGCTAAAGGTAGGCATAATAAAAGGATTAATCGTGTCGTGGTGTGATACGAACGCGCCAGCATCATAAAACCCAATATAAAACACAAACAACCCTAAAGTCGTAATGTTTAATGAGAGCCTTACTCAAGTTGCAGTAAAACGTGTTAACAGAGTATTTAAATAGTCTTCTCCCTTGCATCCGTGTGTATATAAATGTATCTGTTGGTATGCCTACTTTCAGATAGACAACATTATATTATCTGCACCTTTTTCCGTTTTCTTCTGGATTTGAACATAAGGTTACCGTATTGTGGTATGATTTCTTTTATATTTTAAACGCACATCCAAATTAAGATACGTATGAAAAAATCGTTTGCTTCAGTGTTACCCGTTTAACAGGATACTTAAACATAATGCTACAGTCGCTGACCTTAAGCTGACTTTATTTGAACTTCTTTATTTTTATTTTTTTCAGGTCGCTGGGTTAATTGCTAGCCAAATTTCACAAAAGAAAAATGTAAAAAATGTTATTTATATGCTTAGAAAGAGAAACGAACAAACAACAAACTAAACGCCTATTTGATATTTTTTTCATTCTTAAAGGTGCTTCCGATTTGCAGAGTAAAGGTGTAATAATTCACATAACATACAGTATATTGCATAAAATGTGTTTTAAGTTTGATAATAATAAAATTCTAACTACAGCTGCTGGTTACAATAATAATATTTTAGCAGATGTTAAGTGCGTTTTCTTGTTTATGATTCAAATGTTTTTATTGATTCAAAACCCCAATATATATATACATACACAGTACATAAACAGTTAATCATACATATCTAGATGGTCTTATTGTCGCATTGTAGCAGTCAATAACCCGCACTTTCCTAAAGAAATATTAGATAGAGAGATGCCTTATCATGTGATGAAATTCGTCTGCAGTCTGATCATTGCCATATGCTTGTTTGGTTTTTTTTCGAAGCTCGTCTGTTCAAATATAAGGGTTTTCCAAAGTAAAGATCAAGGTATTACAACATGTGAAAATAATAATTGCTACTTTGGCTTGTTTTGTTCATTGCGTTTCTTCGTACCTTGTTCTTGCAGAATGCAAAGCTGAAGCACCAACAAGCAACTGGTTAACTGCAAAAAGTGGAAGGAAGAAAAGATGCCCTTACACAAAGCACCAGACGCTGGAATTAGAAAAGGAGTTTTTATTCAACATGTACCTTACTCGAGAGCGCCGTCTAGAGATCAGCAAAAGTGTCAACCTCACCGACAGGCAGGTCAAGATCTGGTTTCAAAACCGCAGAATGAAGTTAAAGAAGATGAGCAGGGAGAACCGAATCCGGGAACTTACCTCCAATCTCACCTTCTCGTGAGGGAGGACATGAATGTACAATCGTTCTTTTTCGTTCTTTGTCAGATGTAAGATGCACTGGGGACTTGGACATCTTGGTTTTTTTTTTCATATTTGGAAACTGTGACGTGTACCTGCTACTTTTGTTTGAGCTCTTGGTTGTGTTTCATTTCTGGTTTTCTAAAAGTGCCGCATTCTGTAATTTAAATATGTGTTATCACAGGGTATAATACGGACTGGTTTTGTCTCGGGTCTTAAATTATTAAAATGTTGCAGACACCATTGTGGGAAGATTGTTTTTTCGCTGAGTTGAAAAAAAAAATCTGTAACCGTACACGAAATACACAGTTTTAAATTCTTATTAGACCATGACTTTGAACATGAAAGCACATCTATTGTTAGTAATTAGAAAAAAAACATATAAGAGCATCCACCTTAGAGTAGAATAGTCCCATTTAAGTAAATCTTGAAGAGTTAGAAATGTTCCTGTATAGTAAATGTGGTAAGTACTGTCATCATATGGGTGTAAATCTGATGCATGTTTTGTGGCATGTACACTGCAATAAATTATATATGTACAAAAATGATGTTTTTGATGTCCAAAATATAATGCCTATTCATTGTTTCATTTTAGGAAGCAACCAGTGTAAACGTGTTATTTTTTCACCCAACCATCTGCAACAGCCTAAACACCACAGACAACTAAAGTCATTTACTAAGAAATATATTTATGAAACAGTGTGTTTCTTCCTACTGAAAAAAAAACAACAACACCAATTGTATTGCCTTTTGATTCTGAACCTTTTACATGTAAACGTCTTGTGTTAATAATACATTTTCGGTCGAGTGCATCCAAAAATATCCCTGTAATTTTTTTAAATCTAATTTTATTTCTACATTTCTCTCTAGGGTCAGCTGAGATTAAACTAACTCAACAGCCAGTTTAAAGATACTGCGTTTAATATGTCAGAAATTTCGAAATTTAGAATGAGTGAAATTTCATTTTGAATTCTAGAATTCTCTGTTGAAGTCCCGACAACAGATATGAGATGGGGGAGGGGGCATATTTTAATATTATGCCTAATTGTAAAATAATCCATCCTATAAGGACTTGGTACACGATCACTAATGTCTGAAACATTTGTGCTCTTCTCGAAGAATCTGTTTTTTTTGGGAAAAGGACCACAACAATAATTAAAATAATAAGATCATTTTCAGAACAATACGTACAAAATAATATAAAGGTATAAAAACTTTAAAATAAAGTAATTTAGACTGTTTGCAAGAATACATTTTTATGAGATCGTTGTTATGAAATTGAATTCTTAGATTAAAATTTCGAATCGGACTCCTGGATTGTAGAAACCGCCGTTATACTACCGCAACATTTGACTAACGTTAATTTAAAACATCGGTTTTGTAAACATACTACTAAGCAAACGACGATTAAAGTTTTAGATTACTAGCATTGTAAGTTATTTTCTAAACTTAAATTCTGAATGTTTGCGGTGTAATTCAAAAGCTTAATTCGAGTTTTATTTTCACATATTTTAGGTTTCACAGATTCCTTAAAGAAAGAATTTGAACATACGGCATATTACTGAATTTATACGTACAGAAAGCGGTATGCTTTCAGGTTCAAGAAAATTGCTAGAAGGAAAATAAGCTTGAAGTAACCTAAATGTTTGTATTTTCTTTAAAAGGTGATTCGTTCTTTACCGATATATTTAAATCTAAAAGAAAGCTTATGGTCGCCGACAATCTTCAGACTTTTAAATTTATCAACAGTTACATGTTCTCCAGTAAGGTCACATAAAGACGAAAGCTCTCAGTAAGAATATAGTAGTCGAGTCCCAAAATATTTCACGCACGAAACCAAATTCGAAATAACTGTCCAACGGGGACATAGAATGCTGCTTAAATTAGTCCGCTAAAGGGTTTCGAAAAAATAAACCTTCCTCCGCTCATTGGAAACGAGTAGCCAACCCAACATGTTAAAATTTAAATGGAAACCAGTACTGCGGCAGAAAAATAATCTTGTTGGACCATGTTTGTAAGCACATCTGTATTCCAGAAAGAGTTTAGTCTATAACATGTAAATAAAAACTAATCCCAGTGGGCTTTTTTATTCATGAATGCGTTTGTCAAGGTGAAACCACTAGGCAAGTGAGACCAAACCGCTTCCAAATACAGGAGTTAAAACAGCAATTACACAAAACTCGGTTGACAGTGGAGCGCCTTTTGCAAAGTCAAGCACAAGTTGATCAGTGATCTTTTTGATCTTTGACCGTAAGCTTCATTTGCGACCATTGTCCCGTTTAAGAAGCCTGTAGAACATGTGTTGTGGACTTTATTGTCACTTAAAATGTTTAGTTTCCATTTCAATCCTCTGATTTCGAGTTTAATCATTTTCCACCGGACTATCTGGAGCAGAAGGAGGAGACCAAAGAAAGAAGCAGAATACAGAGTAATAATAATAAAAACCACTGGTGCTGGCAGTGTGAAGCCATACACATTAAATAATCTTTGTAATATGAGGAGGGAAATGCATTTCTATTTTGCCAGGTCTTATGACTTAAATTTATAGCTCTATGTACACAAAAGAATGGACGCATCGTTAAAAATCAATAAAAAACAACCTATAAAAGGCTTGCTCAGAAGCAGACAATTTAAAACACAACTACATTAAGGCTGGTATTAAGAAATACATTTCCCCCACGTTTATCCATAAAACCATTAGTATAACAAAAGGGAATATGGAGAACGTAAACTAATTTACATGTCTAATTCAATTTTACTTGTACGTAAAGGAGAGGGTAGCTGCAATTCGACTCTTGAAATCTTACAAATATTCAGAAAGATCGTACAAGATTCACTCTTCCCCGAAGAAGACTAACCATACATCATTTCAGGGCAGATTCACTTTGTTACGCCAAGAATCCGTTTTATTAAGGGCACATTAATGTATAATCAAATGCACCTCATAAAAATTTTATTGATAGACATAAAAACATTATGGCGGTCTTCTTAATAAATAGAACAGTACACAACAATTATTTTCTATTCCAAATATACAACAACACCGAAACAAATATATACTGTTGCACGTCGTGCAGCACTACAAGAAATTCAAATCTTAAAAATTCTCATAGCAACGGTATTCTTGATTTTATTGCATGTTTTATGTTTACGAGGAGTTACAATTACAGTAGTCTATAAAACATATTTTACAAGCGTAGAGTGTGCGACATACCTTATGACGATTTCTGCTTAGATTTTACACACGTTTTTTAAAATATTTGCTCATAGCACCAGTGCATGACTGCAGGTTATGAAATACCCTAAATGGGTGTATTAATTTGCGCACGTAAAGAAATAGTCCCGACTCTCCCCTGCTGCAGTAAAGGTTAAAACCATCCAGATCCTCCAAACGGCTTACATTTTAACGTTTTCTTCCTTTCCTAATACTATACTGTTGATGATAGTTGCTCAAAATGCGGAAATTAAGCTTATCGCAATCTGCGGATTGATTTACTCACTGTATTGGTAAATATGATCACGTGATTCATGCAACCAATCACTGGAGATGAAGCCAGCAAAAATACTATGATTGTTCAGAAGGAAGGTATCTATAACAGTGTAACCTTTTATATGACTACGAAGGGCTCCAAAAATGTCGACCACTGGTACACTTAGTAACTATTATGTGGACTCTATAATAGGGCACGAAGCAGAGGACGTGTATGGGGCTCGCTTTGTCCAAGGAGCACACAGCACGACCTCAAGGCCATCAGGTGTAGCAGATAATGCTGATTTTTCGTCCTGCAGCTTTGCCCCCAAGTCCGCCGTCTTTCCCACGTCTTGGTCGTCGGTTCACCCTCAGTCGACAGCCGCAGTATCAGGGATTTATCATCCCTACGTGCACCAGTCTCACCTTGCTGCCACGGACGGCAGATACGTACGGTCCTGGATAGAGCCCCTCTCCAACTCGGTTTCTTTTTCCGGCTTTCATCCAAACCCTCGGCATTACGGGACAAAGCCAGAAAGTCTGCCTTCTAAAAGGACAGAGTGTTCTTCTTTTGAGGCACAAACTCCAACTCTTCCCGACTTCACGAGCGGGGCATTTTCAGAAAGCAAGGTTAAAGGCACCAAAGAAGCCACTGGCAGCGACATTTCGAATCACAGCGAGCCCAAAGAGGACAAGACGCAGCAACTTGACCCAAGTAAGTAAAAGAAATTGCTCTGTGATTTACAGCCCAGAAACTGTACGAGCGGGGTGTGTAAAGCTGAAGGTTTTACAAACCTATAAAACTGTCCAGACGTTTACCATAGTCCAAAAAAAACCTACACACGGCTATAAATGGTAAATTGTGTACAAAATCTTTAAAATCATTCTGACCACAGTTCACAGTTCTCAGCCCTTGGCGCAGACTATCTTTGTTTCAATGCAAAAGTAAAACTTACATTTAACGTTTTTCAATAGCAAATGTTTCATAGTTACACCAAAGTACCGATTTTTGTAAGAAGTATTTTATTTAGTTATATTCTTGCTCTGTTTCAGGCAACCCTGCGGCAAATTGGATCCATGCACGTTCCACAAGGAAGAAGCGGTGTCCTTATACAAAATATCAGACATTAGAACTGGAAAAAGAATTTCTTTATAACATGTACCTCACAAGAGACCGTCGATACGAAGTTGCTAGAATTTTGAATTTAACCGAAAGGCAGGTAAAAATCTGGTTCCAAAACAGAAGAATGAAAATGAAAAAGATGAACAGAGAAAAGGGCACTAAGGAGCAACACTGACTAACCCGGGAATGAAAACTGCAGTGCACTGGACTATGTAGTGCTTCATCTTTGATGTAAATGTGGTCACGCCATGTGCTAGAATAAACTTTAATAGGAGCCTGTGTATTAAATATGTCTGTTCCATTGTCTTTGTTAAAAAAAAAACCTGTGCCCCAAAGAATTGGTTTTGTGGAAGGATAAAAGTGACATTTTGTTTGTATCTGTTCTTCCTAAAACACAAAATAAATGTTTAACGAGTCTTAATTGGACCACAACATATATTCGACATAAAGATCCAAGAAACGGTAAGATACAGGTATGAAGGTATCCATTAGTGTATCAGCAATGATGCCGTTGAATAATTATTTTTTTCAGTAGGCGAATGTATTTCAGGATTTACAGTAGCTAATTCTTTTTTTTATTATTATTGCTCGCTATTGATTTTTCCCGAGAAAAGAAAACAAGACTTATTGTTTTAAAAAGATTCCAAAAAATGCTATAGGACGATTTTTAGACAATACAAATATTCTCTGATATGTGAGTATGTGGCCAGAAATTGTAGTATGAAGGTCTGTTCGATTGCAGATATGCTAATGATTAACTTAAATAGTTAAATGTTCTATGTAATTATTTTTTTTTGTATTAAAAACATACCGGCTCACAGCAGGACCTGTTTCGTAAAATATGAAAAGCTTTCATTTTATTATTATTGGAAGAAAAATAATTTTATTCAGGTAATATAAAATGTAACTTATTTTTAAGTTGTCAGGAAACTATTAACGATTGCATGCGCTGTAATATATGTGTTTAAAGTGTGTTCACATAGCGTCTGAATAACAAGAAATGTATAGCGAACTATCATTTTGCCTTGAACTGGTTGGTCTGCAATTTATTAAGAGAATGAAAAACATATGTACGTGCGAACGTTTACTCAAGAAAGAAAGCACAAGCCATACACTGATTGTGGGCTATTAGAAAACATTTAATGTAAGTTACTTTTCGTAAATGTACATATCAGTTTGGAACAAGTGTGAAACATATACAGAGCATACCGAAGAATTAGCTTCGCACTTGTGTTATGGCGCTCGAAGTTGATTTCGTGATCTGTTCAATACAGGAAAAAAAATGACCAGGCTGAAGTTGCATCTTATTTATGGAATTCCTCTCTGACCGAAAGCGATTTCTATATGCCTACCCAGAAATGGAATAATAATAGTTTAAACATTTTAATATAGGTTATTCGTGAATTCCTCTGATTTCATTGTCCTTGTTCAATTTAGTTTCAAAATACATATTCAACAACAGCGACTGAAACAGTAAACAGTTGCTGGTATTTAACCGCAGTGAGTTCAGTTCACATATGAATAAAGTTCGAAAATTGACAAGCTGCGTTTAATACCTTTAAACCTCAGTTTTAACATTAGTATTTTATCTTTGAAAAACCGCAGTCTTAATGCGTAATGGCATGGACCTTTGAGATCTGCTGAAGTTAAATTTGGAGCCATTGTTGTAGGATTTCCCACTAATAAAGTGTTTACGATTGGAAAAGGTGTTGCACGGATCTGAATTTATTGTGTAACCTTTACCTATAATGAGTTTAAAGCAGGAAGAAACGCGGTACAATAAAGCTATACAGTTGACTAGACGTCTGGTCTTAATGAGTTTATGGGCGATGGTTGTAATTGTACCCTTCTTTCAAACCTCCTTATTTAGGTGTTTGTGTCTGTTGCTGACAAACAAAAATGCAGACACGTTACTACAAGGGTGTCTGGTCGATAAATTATGTGTCCGAAAGATCGAAAGGGAAACGAAAAAGTTCCCCGACTACAGGGAAAGTCACGTTTATTCGAGGTCGGCGTTTGTTCTTAGAAATCCATCAGACTGAACAGTATTTTGCAATTTGTGATGTTGTAAAATAAAGGGCTGTTTAAAAGAATACTTTGGATTTAGCAAGTTGATTTTGCACCTGTATTAGAAACTAAACGTAGACATTTTTACAAGGAGAATAACATATCCAATTCGATCATTTTATATATATATACATTTCTGAACATTAATATTAGCTTCTCAATATAGTTGTTATATTATGAATTGCAACAACAATTTGCAAAAATTGAACCGGATATCTAACGGTCCATTATTTGCAACGTAGCTATCGAATACTTTAACTATATAAATAAATCAGCCGATTTCCATTTCAATAAAGAATATATAAAATTTTTATTTGAATGTAAGACAGATTTATGGAAATCCGATTATCTGTTTAGGTGAAAAGTTATAACATTTCTGGTCACTTGATGGCGCTGTTGTTTCATATAATACAGGAGGCAAAGACAGGCGACAAGGGAAAGGGAGGTTTAATTAACAGAACATTTCAGAGTACCTCCACCCTGCACAATATGAATCATCGTATCATAGCATATTATGTTTATTCTTACGTTAATAAACGATCTTTTCAGTGGGTCCTTTTAATTAACGAAATATTAAAATGTTAGTGCAGACGTAAATAGCTTCAGCTCCTCACTCCTCTCCCACCAGCCCCACACTCACACACCCACAGAAACTAGATTCATAGCTGTCTGATTTATCTCGGTGAAGCCAGAAATATTAGCAATATGTTGTTCAAAAGTAGTAAAGAAAAAAAAGTGTATCGTTTGTTTAGGTAAGAGCAGGAAGTCAAATCTGAAGGGGCTATAAGAAATCCCGAGATTTAAGTGGAAAGCCTGATTCTATATGAGCTTCTAAGGGTGTAAAGATGGTTAGAGCCGGCACATAAACGCATAAAACTGTAATAAAAGAACAATAAATAGGCCATTTAAACACTAGGTGGTGTGTATTTATTAAAAATAAATACTTTGGCAGTGGTGGCTGTGTTCTGGCTTTTGCAAAGGCAATTCAACCTTTCTTTTCTCGAAACCGTGATGTTGCCGCGTTGTTATTGTTGAATATACGCTAAATACACGTAGGCTCGTAGAAACAGTCATTTGCAGAACAATTATGTCTACAATACAACACCGTGTTAAATACCTGCATTTCCCTTTCCGTTTCGATTACAGCTGGTAACCAACCCCGTAAACGATTTACAGGAGTAAGAAGAAAGGCCTTTTCAGTATCTTTTCAAAAACAAAGCAGACGCATTTCTAAACAGCAAAGGTTCTACAGTACGCACACGAACACAAAGCAGAGAAATATTAGCAGCATTTAAAATCTTTCAACAACAAATAACAAACGGAAAATACAGGATATTATTATTGTAGTCGGTGGTATAATCATAAGGCTATGTTGTGAGAGAAGCGGAAAAACATCACCAAGACGGAGTAGGTCGGTTATATAAAATAGTTTTCAAGTATTTGGCTTTTAAAATGTTGCAATGTTAAAATATCAAACGTACTGTAGGTCTATTAACCGTTTTCTATCCACTGCTAAACAATTTCTCTTTGTTCTTTGGTCAGAATTCCGGAGTAATGTCAAGCGTCATGCTCTCCTGAATATGCAAGATCTTCGGTTCAGTAGTGACGTTTCTGAAGGGTGAAATAATAGGAAACTTATTCATAGCCATGATTTTCATTAGGCAGTAATTAACCTTACAGATTCGTGACTTATTTGTTTTCACCTGGTCAAGGGTAAACGTTTTGCTCACTTTTTTTCGCACAACGGTTTTAATTTCGGGATGTTTTATAGAGAGGATAATATTTCTTTGAGTATCCTTTTATAAAAGTGTGTTGAATACAATACGATTAGGGACACCTCTATTATGTAGTTTCATCTAACAATCTAACAATAGTGCTACGTTGCTCATGTTAAATGATATTTGTTGTGTGCTGTTGCACACTACATATGTAGGCTATATATTGGGATTTATACAGTTAGGTTATACATATACGTAGGCAACACCACATCAAATTACAATAAGCAAGTACTGTCTAATACATACGCTACACAACCAGTTTCCATTAGCCTATGACATAGTTGTACACTAACCAGTACATGTGTATGTTTAACGTTAACTACATATTGTAGCGCATATCGTACAGACACAAAACATATTTTTCACATTCATTTACAACAGAAACTGACAAATTTAGAACGGAAACAACAATAATTGTCAATGGAAGCGATAGGTTAGAGAAATATCATTTTTTCTTTCCCTTTTCAAAACTGTGACCTTGATACCCTATTGAGGGTATAGTTTTAGTTTTAGTCTTGTTTCTGTCATAGAAATGCCTCCAAATGCGTAGGCATTTTAAGAGCACTTCCAACTAGTTGTACTGCAGTGACTGTGCTGGTTGGATATATTATTAGTCTGCCAATTATCTTAACCCAATCTCTATGGTCAGAGGTTTTCGAAACAAAATTATATTCAGAACACAGAGGGGGGTGTTTGTTTGCCTCAGGACCAGTAAATGTAAAACGAAGCAAAAGATTTTCCAAACAGGCAGAGCTTTCACTCGGCTCTGTGATTAAAAGGAAACAACAAAAGCCTAGAGGTAGAGATTATATTCTACACAAGTCCTCAGTGACCACTGGATTGGAATAACCACTATGAGTACTAAGTAGACTACTGGATGACAGACCTCTTCAATCAATTTTTTATTTGTTATTTTGAGTCACCTGATTAACAATTTGAAAGCACAAATGAGCTCATATTTTGTAAATCCCTTCTACCCAAAGTACAAGCCTGGTGAAGCAATAGTTCCAGCGTACTTCGACTCTCCTTTTTCACAAGATGTTAACAGTAGACACGCAATGTACGGAAACACTGCAGGTTTCCAGCACCCAGCACAAGTGCAAGAATTTTATCATCACGGGACCGCCGCAATACCGAACGCAAGTTATCAACCGAATCCTTGTGGAATTACGTGTCACAGCGACCCCTCTAAATTTTACGGATACGATAACTTACAGAGACAGCAGCTCTTTACGACGCAGCAAGAAGCTGAGCTGCTACAATACCCTGACTGTAAATCGTCCGGTAGTAATACTGGCGAGGAACCAGAACACTTAAATCAGAACCCTTCTCCGTCTCAGATGTTTCCCTGGATGAGACCTCAAGGTTGGATGTAATAAAAATTTGCTTCCAAATCACGTATAGATGTGTAGGCTACTTAAATAGTGACTTTTGCAGACACCATGAAAACGGTCTCTTGTCTAGTTTTACCTTTCACAAAAACTCGTATTCTGTTTGCTGAAGCTTCGTTTTCATTGCAAGCTGCGTGCCTTTGTGAAAGCTGACAGTAACTAGAAGCGCTACATTCTAATAACTCGCTGTTTTCTTTCTCCTTAGCTCCTGGCAGAAGAAGAGGCAGACAGACTTACAGTCGATTTCAAACTTTGGAACTCGAGAAAGAATTTCTTTTTAACCCCTATCTGACAAGAAAGCGAAGAATCGAGGTGTCCCACGCACTGGCTTTGACGGAGAGGCAGGTTAAAATCTGGTTCCAGAACAGAAGAATGAAATGGAAAAAAGAAAACAACAAGGATAAATTTCCAGCGTCACGTCCAGACGAAGCAGAAATAAAAATGGAAGGCGATAGCTTTGAACATGAAAAGGAAGAATCTGATTGACTGTAGACTATAAGCAACCTGTCTTGCCGAAATATTTGCAAAATCGAAAGTAGTGGGCTTTAGTTTTACCACGTTTCCCTTGTAATCGAATACATGTAAATATATAGGTTATTTTTCGCTGATTTATGATTTCTTAACGGCTTTTATCTCAATTATTGTGTGAGCACGTAGTCTATTTAGTTTCTGAAAACATCGCAGGCCTTCTATGAACCATGTAAGTTAGAAGAATTATTTCACATTTGCGGATTCTACTGATTTTAAGATCTTGACAATAAAAGAAAAGTACGTGTACAGTACACGCAGACCGAACAAAATGAAGCCACGAATCGAAAGCAGACTACACTTGAAACGTCTTCTCGATCTTTTTTTGCGTGAAATTAAAATGATATATTACACAATTAGACAGGTAAAGTTTTTGTCCTGTAACTATTAAATGATTTGTTTTAATGATTCGATGTATTTTGTATTAAAAATAACGATGTCCACGATTTGTAAGAGAAATAAATATCAAATGTTTAATCTTGTTTCTTTTTTGTTTCAAGTTGTTTTATTCTCAATCATCATATTTATAAGAAAAAAAGAAAGGTGGAAGAATTAACCTAAGCAAAAAAAACCGTAAAAAAAAATAAAAAAATAAACAAAAAAAAAAATTTTTTTATCTATTTACTCCTTTAATATGGGGCATTATACATTTTTAATATTTGATAACTGGGAAATGGGGAAATGTAACTTTGTAAAAACCTTTAAAACGCTGTTCAACCGGATGATTCGAACCATTCATAATGTTTATATTTTACTGGTATTCAAAACTTAAATATTAGAATTTCGTCGTTTGTTTCAAAGATAATTCTTTTAAAATACATTTTAAAAACATAGGATAGATGTGATAGTAATTAAATTTTAATATTAGAAGTTCATATACGTTCATTTTATTTTAAATAATTTGTTGTTACAATGTAAGTCATTATTATTTTCTTAGGAGAAAATTATTGAATAATTATTTTCTTAGGAGAAAACAATTAATGTAAAAATTGAACAGATCTCAAAATATGTGAAACAAAGAGTTTTTTTAAAAAAATAATGAGCTCATAAGTTGCGATATGTCCTGTTTATATCTTACCAATATTAAAATGCCAACCCAAATGATCTTTGTAACACTTCGGCCTGTAGGAATAACCGTAGTCCTTAAACATTAAAGAGAACTATTTAAAATGGAAACAAAATGCCGTCTTTTCTTCTATATAAACCACGATCTGAAATCACATGAAAAGGTTGGAAAAATATGCAATCTACTACAGGCGACTTGCCAGATAACTCATGATCTGTATATAAAAAACATTCAAACTATGTTAATCACACCTCACAATTCTTATTATTTATATCCGCGTGACGCTAATCGTTCTGAAAGTCATTGCTGAAATATTCACAAGTGAAAATGGTTTGTTCCCTAACCGAAAAGAATGCTGTTGCACGGATGTAACCGAAAGTATTTTTAAATCACAGGCCTTCAGAACAACTGGTGGTGTTAGTTGCCTATTATTGATAAGCACCGCAGTTTTCGTTGTGGTACTCCGATGTTAATGCTGTGTCAGTGCCAATCCTGGCTGACAGCGTTTCCTCTAATTCTTCAACATTTTTTCTTCATTTCCCTATATTTAGTGGTATATCCCCCTGGGTCTTAATTGTGTTGGGCAAATTAAGAATAGAGTCTGTATACCTGTATGTGTGCTTGTCCTTTCTTTCCGACGAAAAGAATACAAAGGTTAATTCCAGTTATCACACAACTCATTTACAAGTTCAACCGCACATAATATACAAACGTGTATAATGTTAAGGAACACATCTGGTTACATATATGAATATTTTAAACGCATTATAAAGAAGAAAGTAAATACGCTCCAAAGACTTTTAGAATTCCCCCCCTCCCAAAAGCAAACACTTCTTTTCAAGACGTAGGTTATGTGGTAAAAGCTCTGACATTGAGAACACATTTCATTACAGATTTCTTTGTCAAGGACATTCAAAGGTTGAAGCATTTCTTATGTAGGTTATGGCATGATATTTAACACAGTATTTTTTTTTTATTAAAACGGATTCTAGCTGCAGTCTTAATAAAACTGCACAATCTTGGTTCTTTTCAGTTCGCTTTTCGTATTATAAAGCTCAATGGGCTTTCAACTGGAGAAGCAAATGGCTTTTGCAACCATTATGCGCAAAACCCGAAAGGAATTGCAGTAAATTCCTTTTTGTTAGAAGACAATTTACAACTTGGTAATAGACCTTTTTATGAGCAAGTATCGTCTGTCATTGGATGGCACTGGTCATGTGCATGAGGCTAACGTTTTCATGGCCCTTTTCCTGATTTCCCTAGCGATTTTTTCACTGCATTCCGCTGTTAAAGCGCCTCAACTCGTCCTTTCTGTCTCCTCTCGTTTTAATATAGGAGGCATGGAAGTGTTAAGATAGTAATCCATTCCAGGGATTCTAAGCTTTGATGTTGTTTCCTTGATAGTGTTAGATAACTCTGGCGGTATGATGGAGAGTAAAACGGAGTTAAACGTGGTAGTGAACTAAACATTTGCAGTTCCCTTATTAGGTACTCACATTTGTGTTTAAATTCGACTTTATGTTAAAGTGCCAAAATATTGAAGAAAATGGATTATTCGAATCAACTCACATACAGACCGGAGCTAGTCATCAAGGGTAAGTGTACTTTTACCTGATGAATATCACCTGAGCATGTACTTTTCCCTGCTTTACATAGTGCCAATTATAGGGTTGTGGTGCTTGTTGTCAGAACTATAGCTTGATAACGTTGAGCTGTAAGTGAAATTCTTCTAAAGTTCGTACTGCAGGGCGGCATAGTTCGAATCAACTTTGTCTTTTTATATCTTGTTTTTTTACGCTATTATCAATAACATGTTGTGTATTTTTTATTTCTCAGTATACAGGTGTTTATGATGTCTTTAATCGCAGTATGACAGATTATTTTGTCTCCTTTAATTTGTTTAATTTTAGATGCCCATTTGTTAGAACATGAAGTGTTGAAGTGTTTTTAACACTATGAAATGTTGAAGTGTTTTTAACAATATGAAATAGGAGATACCCCTATCTCACTTAGCACTCACACTGTGGTTAAAAGAAATGACAAAGTGAAACGAGTCTGAAAGTATAAGTTGGGTATTCTTCGATTTTAAAATGTCTAAGCTAAAACTGACCGATAGACTTTCTTTTTTAATGATTTGTCATATTGCAGTGTTCAGTTTTCAAAAATATCATTGTCTTCTTCAAATGTGACAGGAAAGTAACACCATATAACACTGGTGTAAGATGCATCTTACACCAGTAAGAATATGAACTAGTGAACAATAGAAAAACGCTTGCTACAATACCTTCTTAAACTTTGTCCAATGCGTTTTCAAAAGAGAAAATGTAATTCAGTTATGCAGTTGTGTAGACAAATATGAGAGATTTCTTGACTCCAAAGAACATATTTTTATAAAGTAATAAAATCGTTTATATAACTAGTGGCAGTTCCAAATTTATTGGAGAGCCGAACTGTATCACCACCACCATCTTTGTAATGGTTTCAATACTGTGTAATTACAGATTGTAAGATTTCGCCACAAACCCACCTCCTTAAACAATAGCACTTATAATAAGAAGGATGTAGTCCTGTCAAATGTAGTGAAATGCAATATTAAAAATGCAATACTTTATCAACATTTCCCTAAGGACCACACATGTATTTGCACAATATAATAGTTCAATTGTTGTTTCTCTGTGTTTTCTGTATGCAAAATATATAAAAATATATTTGTATGTGTGCAAAACCTATTAATTAGTTCATGGGTGTAAAAGGCGGGTTCTCGCATGATCCCTTGTTTGCATAGATTAGACCTGGGATTTAATGTAAACCCTTTGTGAAGAATGAGAAATTTGGATAGGGACTGGTACTTTTACGTTTTCTGATCTCAATGGAACTGGATTTTCTCAGATTTCTGTTGTGTGTTTCAGTTATTTTTTAATTAATGGCATCTCTTCTGCACCTTGAAAAAAAAGATTGCACCTGTTTTTATTTTTGTACATTTTGAATGACAAAGTGATTGAGCAGTGACAGATAGTCTCGCATTTAATTAAAAAAAATTAACTTTCCTTGCACTTTTCCAATAGGCTAATAAGATATTTTGGAGTGTTTGCTGAAGGATCTGCTTGAGAGACTAGTTTACAGCCGCTTGGAAATGCGCGTTTCAGAACAAAGACAGTATTTCACTACTGGCTGGCAGGCAGCTGCTAAAGTATTTACGGCCTTACTGCAATGCGGCAAGGGATTGTAGCCTGAGAGATTGCAATGAGGCAAACACGTTAAAGACTAAATGAAATATCAGAAGGTTCATCTATCGAATAAAATAATAAAACCTCTGCTTGTAAACAAGGAAGAAATTGAATCATAACGAATACGACGGGAACATATCAAAACCAAATCGTGTTTTGAGTATATGCAATATCTTTTTTTGTAAATGCTTTTATGTGCTGTATAACCTACCAATGGGGTTAGTCATAGTTCATTAATCTCACACGTCATGTAGTGTACATGTGAACATGAAGAAACGTACCTAAACTGTTTGCTAAATAAACGAATGGATAATTACACAAAATGGTTACAAATGCTTTTGCAGCTGCAAATAGTGGACAACAATCTTTTCTAATGATAACGGATACGTCACAGGTCACGTGCTCGGTGGCCCCCGTTATATAATCACGTGAAAGCAATGAAAAAACTGTGGAACAAAATTTATTAACAACGTTCGCTTTATTAAGAATAACAACTATAAGTGTTTTTGCATTACAGCTAACAAGGAACAAACCAGCCCATTCTCGTACCCACACAACAGTATTTAGATATGAATATACAACTGTAAACTGAGTAGGGGGAAGGGAATTATTTTTAATGAAATAAAATTTTAATGAAATAAGAAATAAGTAAAAGAGCTAAGTAAATATAAAAAACAGTGTTCGATTTAATGACAATAACATAAACACAATGCCAGATAGATGATTTAATCAGAAAAAAAAGTTCTGTTTTATGAAAATAGAAATGTTGATGTATTTTCCCCGAGAAGAACATAATTGTGTTATGTTCAGGTTATGTTCAATAACTCGGCTATACGGAATTCAGTAAGAAACGTTTGTATAAGGTGAGGTGGAACAACAAACTGACATAATAAAAATAGATTAAAATGATCATTGCTGAAATACAAAATAACAGTCTTTTCAAATAATGTTTGGTTTTTTTTCCTTTACTGAATTCCACGTATTTATCCCAAGTATAGAAACGGTGTTTTCAGACTTTTATTAACATAGGCCTAATATATAATATATCATATAATGCATCGATATAAAATATTGCGTGTGTGTTTACTGCTGTGCGTATTTGTTCCAGGAGAAGGCGCTGTTGTACAACGTTCGTACTCAATCCTTGTCTTCCTTCCGCATCCTTTACTCCAAAGGTCATTCAAAGGAGAGTTAATATTGATGTCCAGACACGTGACTTCGGATCTTTCGCTGCTTGCCAGTTTGCTTATTTGAGCATTATGTTGAACAATTGCCTGTGTGCAAACGTATAATGGATTCAAGGTAAAAGCAGAAAAATAAGTCACAAGATGCTGTCAATTATTACGATGGGTACATTACAGGTTGTAAGAAAATCATCCTCCCAGTATTTATTGTTAATAATAATTACAACACTAAGAATTATTGACATCTCCATTCTTTCGGCATTTCAGAAATCAACATTACACTGTGCGTGCCTGTTGTGTACAGTACTCAATTTACTAAAGACCCTAATTTGTGTGCTTTGGAAAATGTATACTCCTACGGAAACGCTATAATCAAAGCAGAATTAGAGGGTGCAGTAATGTATACACAAAATGGCTCATTTATAACTTTTTATTTCAACAGCATCTATTGAACTACGATTCAATTAATTAATCGACGACTAAATATTGTCTAAGAATTAACGAAACAGCGAGTGTTTTGCTGAAAATGTCTTGTCAACATTTCAGTGTCCGGTTCAGATATTCTTTTAGTGCATTTAATATTTACGTATTGTAGAGTTAAGGCGTTTTTACACGTTTTGAAGTTTGGTTTTACTCTATGAGAGAAAAATAGATTCGACCTTGAACAATTGCAGTAAAAAACACAACACCACAAAGTTCTTTTTTTTGTAGCTAGGAGGAAAATAAATGTCATTTACAAGTTATATGTCTCCTTTTGTGGAGCCAAATTACAATTAAACATTACATCATCAGTGCAAGGGGATTGTAAATTGCATTAATAGAAATCCTTACGTGAGAGCATTTTAATGAATTATTATTATTATTATTATTATTCACTACCCTGTTTGTGTTAGCTTGTCCACATTAAGATTAAATTAATTAATTAAATTTACGAAATTGATTAGGAGTAAGTCTCGGCATTTAACATAAATAAGACTAAAATTGGAAACCATTAGTGCAAAGTAAGATACTTCGTTATTTCAAACAAACGAATAAAGTGTTTTCTCACATCCGGATTTTATTGTTTTATTACCTTAAACATCCAAGGTGTAGGCATCCAAGAACACCCGCCAAGATGTTTAAAGCGTCTCACACATGAAGGGTCATAAAATGTTTTCCTTCCTTTCAAATAGAAACTTATTCTGAATATCACGCCTGAGTTCTCCCACATCACGACTGTGACTATATTTCTAAATCTATTTCAATATGGAAACTAGCAAAATAGTTATAAGGGCGCTAAAAAATCGATATAGAAAGGAAACATCGCATATAACATCGTAAATACTGTTAACAGAATTTTAATCTTATACTAGGGAGAGCAAAACAAATACATATTGATTCTGTATCAGACCAGGAACGTATTCAAATAAATAGTGTACTTAGATATTATTAAAACCAAAACTAACCTGCACATAACCCTTTGCAGTCTTAGCTTTTCTTGCTATGTTTAGATTAGCGCGTAGGCTGCTAAAAAGCAGAAAAGTGTTGCCTAAATTCTGTGGTGACATCAATGTAACCGCCATTATTGAATAAGTTTTCAACTTCCAAGATTATTTATGGTACTTAGGAGCGGTGTCATGAATGGCTATGGAGAAGCACGTGATTCCATTAAACTTTGTTTTATGGCTAGGGAGTTGACAAGCCAAAATTTAATTCACATTGTGTATTAGCACAGAAGTGCTGATGGTTTAGCATTTCTCAGCGATCTTTGAATAACTGAAAGCAAGGATTAACCTCTGGTTGCTAGCATCATGACAGTGTATCTCTGCTACCACCTTCTTCACAACAGTGTTCCTCGAAGTAAGCTTTCTCTCTATAAATGTTTCTATTGCAGAACTTTCAGGGAAGTGAGTATTTTGATGCACCTGATCTGTAGGGCGCATGTTTTTTTTATGAAAGCAGACTAGACATTTTAAGAACTATTTTGTGGAAGAAGAAAACATTGATACAATTATATTATATTGTGTTGATTTACAGCTTTACCTTAACATCAAGAGCTGATATCTTATACTTCTGTGTACAGCAGGAACTCGTTTGAAGTGTGTACATAACTTTACTGAAAACCCGTTTTATTCTTTCTTGAAACACTTTGTGTAATTTAAGTATTATGTTAACGTTTATTACAGTATTAAGATAAAAATAGACTGTAAAGTCTTGTAGTTTATTGATTTCTTTCAAATACTGTTAAAATTACAAGTTTTAAATAAGATATCTGAAAAGCTACAACAAGATAGTTATTAATTCGAATTCGTTACTAATTTGCATCCTGCAAACGGAGCTAAACCTTTTTACAAGGTGTTTCACCCAGGTGGATGATTGTTTGAAGCCACGTGAAGCGTAAATCTCATTTAATTTTTTTTATAATTATAAGTCTTATTTTATTCTTACTTTTTATTGTGTAGGTTAGTAAAAAGCAGCACAGGTAGACCTTTTAATTATATTACGGGATTTTGTTTTAACTGAGATCAGTCTTATTCCGTGTCGATATCGATTAATTTGCCTATCCGATCTTTTTCTTTATCTACCCATGAATGTAGAGGCCTTTGATTGTCTCCTTTAAAAACCTCGATCTGCTGCAGCGCCCCCAAGCGTATAGCAAGGTGTTCAAACAAAAGGTTTACTGCATGATCTTCACATAGAATGTTCTTACTGTCTGAACCATTTTTAAAGTCAATACAGAGAGAGAAAAAGACCAACTAAACAGCAAATGTACATTTTCGATATTCATTTTCACTGACAGAAAATTATAACCTACAAAAGGAAATCATACATTCTCACTCTTGATCATTTTTTGTAATCTGTGGAAATCTGTGGAACAGGATAGGCTAGATATACACTTGTAAATGATTTAAATCACGTATTTAAGATTCCTTTGATAAAATGTAATCATTTACAGATAAAAGGTATCATCTGAACTGAAAAAACTTGCACATTAGACGCCTGTGTTTTTTATTGACTGTTTAGTTCAACAACAAAAAATGAAAATACAGAAATTAGCTATTATTGTACTCTTTTTTTTCTTTACTTCCGATGATTTTGCCTGAGAAGACTCGCACTGCAAAAAAAAACGTTTTATTTGTCTTTAATGTTAGGATTTTTTTTTCTAATAGCAAACGCAACTATCCTTATTGAACAAAAAATATTAAAATGTTCAACGTTCTCGTTAGGCTTTATGGCTTCTTCGATTGTGAATGATACAACCAAACAAGGTTTCTATTAATCCATCCAAATGAGCTGCACCAAAAATGAACAAATATACATATATTATTTTCCTCAAATGATAATGTTTTAGAATAAAATTAGATAAATTTAAAGAAGGAAAGGAAGAGAAACGAAAAACAAAACAAATCTGGATAATTTCTAAGATATAAAAGATGAAAAGAATGAGTGATTTTTAAAATCTTTTGTTCATCAGTTACTCTGGCTTTGACCCGTCTGAACAAGTCGCGGAATAAGGTGAAACACAGGTCACAGTGTCTAACAAATATGAAAATGCGAACTACCCAACTGAGATACTATTATACACTTACAGGTTATTTATATGTAGTAATACTAATTCATTATCATCCTATTGCTATACGAAACTCACAAATTCGATATAATTTTTTTGCTCACATATAATTTTACATATGTATTACATGTAAATTAGAATGTTATCATTAAGAAGATCCTTGTGTTGTATTCTGCATTCTTCCTGCTTGTATGTACGCAAAACATAGAAATTTACTTTTTTGTAATATTTGAATTATTTCAAAACGAGGTACATGTCTCCATATGTTAGTCGGAAATGAAGATTAGAAATATATAGAACGAAACGCGCAAACGAATATTTTTGACCATATATATATACAATACTGTATTTTTCTTTCTAAAATGAAACTTACGCTGATTTCGTTTACCTTTGGGCGACTCTGCAATATTCCTTTCTTGGAAACAAACTTCTGTCTGGTCAGCAGGCTTTGACCAGGGAACTTGGGTATCAGTTGGGTCATGCAGAATTCATGAACTTTTGTACGCCTCGTGCTCGGCTGTCGCCTACGAAAAAATAATGAAACTTTGTGATATGTTTGTAAATGATTTAGTTTGACCTCGTGCCCTTTACCCTCTGCCTTATATGCGACCAGTCTATAGCAAATCTGGGAACATTTGATAGAGACTATGCTGGTTAAACTTATATTCAGAGAAACATCCAAACGTAAGTATTCAGTATTATTTTAATTATCGTGCAGTTGCAGCAATAGATAGTCACTTCAATTGGTACATGTGGACCTGTCAGTTTTGTTTTAAAAAATAACAATACCATAGTAGCATAATTCGTTTGATCTGGTCAGGGCGTAGAAGAATCGAGATGTGTATTATTAAAAAATAAAATTGTAAAATGAAAGACCCTCGCCAGTATCCTTCATCGCATGTTTTTTTACATCGAAATTTGGAAAGCTCTATTCGAAAGGATTTTCAGGAACAATTGGACACAGACACAATCTATTTCATAACATGGATATTATATATGAGTCACAGGTGAGGATAAAAAAATATTGAGTATACCCCCGTTGTAGAGACTTATATTCCGTCGTCTATATATACCCTGTAGAACCGAATTTGTGTGATATAAACACAGTCACAGATTCGATTCTAGGGGAGTATATGGTCGATGCAAAAACTTCGAATTTTACAACGTTACTCAGTTTCTTTTTCTTCATGAATCTTAAAATCATATTATGATAACCATCGCAATTGCTTCGCAAATTTTTCAGTGCCTAAGTGTCCATGTTCCTCTTTAAAAAAAATGGAGACGGTAAATTATAGATTTACTTATAATTTTAATTATAGATATAGATATGAACTGCCGCAAATATTAATATTTGTTTGTTTAAGCCACGAGTGAATGAAGCATATTTCAATTATCCTACAATGACGTGCTTCAGTGTATTATTTCACAAATAGCGGTCAGGTGGGTTTGGTTAATGAAAATATACTCGTATTTTCGCATTTTGTGAAATATTTAATTACTGCATGTATCAATCTGTCGAAGGAGAAAGAACCTTGCATTAGATATACATTTCACATCGGTAATTTTAGTTTTCATTAAAATTTCTTTGTTATTCCTCGGTATCCCTGATGCTATATGGAATCAGTGCAATTGAAAACTTTATAATTATTTAATGAGACCAGATATTTTTTAAAAAAATAATAATATCATATGTCGTGTGTTAATGTCTGTGGTCACTCTCTTCTATTTATCACCAAGGTCTTTGGTTTGCCTTCAAAGGGATAGAACAGGGATGAAATGATGAGATTCTTGTAACTTTTGGATGACCCCAGTTTGACAAAGACAGTCCCAATCAATTGTCCTCGGGCTTTATTCTACTCTTTTCTGTGAAACTGGACTTTTGTATCTTTGTTTCTCTATTGTAGCTCATCAGCTATAGTTCAATGTAACGCAATACAACGTAAATAAAAATTAAAACAACTTAACAGCAAAAAAACACACACACACACACACAAAATCTTGATTCTATTCCTAAACCCGTTGTTTAATTAAGAAGACCGGCAGGGGTTAAAATCCAGTTATTATAATGATCACGGATAGGATGCTTGTTATCTGCTGTTTATAGCATCTGCGCATATTTAATCACTGTTGCATTACTGAAATGTACCATTTTATTCCAAACAATCTGAATATTTAGCAAACTTTGTGAAAATTGCTGCTAGGTGTATGCTTAACCGTTAATAGACTCCCTTTAGCTCCATTGGCTAATCCAGTCACATGGGTGCCCAACTTTATTCAGTTGACAGCAAGTAGGAGGGCTTTATGGAAGGAGAAAAAAAGACAACTCGAGAAAAATTAGTATTTTCTACCTTCAGAAATTAATGGCCATGAGTTCGTATATGGTGAACTCCAAGTATGTGGATCCAAAATTTCCTCCTTGTGAGGAATATTCGCAGAATAGCTATATACCTGACCAGAGTACAGGGTATTACAGTCCATCGCAGGGCACAGATTTCCAGCATCCAGGAATCTATTCACGGTCAAACTACACCGAGCAATCCTTTAGCTGTAACACTGATCAGGGATCTACAGTGCAGCCGCGGGGTCATGTGCAGGAGCAGCCCAGCCAACAGAGTCCTTTCACGGCTCAAAGTGAGCAGTGCCCGCCGGTCCAAATATCTGGGACACGGTCTTGCAACCAGCAGCAAAGCACCAAGAACCAAAACGGGATACAAGCCAAACAGCCAGCAATAGTTTATCCCTGGATGAAGAAAGTCCATGTTACCACGGGTAAGACTGACTTTCCTGTTTCTCACTCCAGCCCCTTTTGGGCCAGTTGTGTTGTACTATTTTTTTTCCTCTGAAGAATCGTTCCTTGAAATATTTATGGGTTCTTTTGAAGGGGCCGCCAATTACACCAGTCATAAATTTTTATTGCTTAGGAAATAGGCCGCTAGCCATGTGGTCGGCTTTCAAAACAATTGAAAACTCCAGTGGACTGCTGGTATGATTTTGAGGTTGTCTTTTCTATTCTTAAACTTTAAAAAATAATCCAGTAACAACCTTCCTATTGCATATCGATCCTGCATAAGCTATCCCTTACACTATTTCCAGGATATTAGAAATATAATCTTTGTGAAGTACACAGTGTTGAGAAAGACTATGACACTAATGCTAACTTCGGTATTTTCTTTATTCTTCCAGTGAATCCAGATTATTCAGGAGGGGAACCTAAACGATCACGGACAGCTTATACAAGACAGCAGGTTTTAGAACTGGAGAAAGAATTTCATTTTAACAGGTATCTTACGAGGCGGCGTCGTATTGAAATCGCGCATACCCTGTGTCTTTCTGAGCGACAGATCAAAATCTGGTTTCAGAACAGAAGAATGAAATGGAAAAAAGACCACAAACTTCCAAACACAAAAGGCAGATCTTCGTCTGCGCCTAGCCAGCATTTACAGACTGTGCAGAAGGACAACCAAACTGATATCACAACTTTGTAAGAGATGGACATTGCATTTTCTCCACTCTTCCGCAAAGAACTGTATATAATAGACACTGTTCATCAGAATTTGCATGATCCAGAAACCTGACTTTTTTGGTTGTTCCCATTAATGTAAAACGAAAGCAAACATAACAAAAATGTCGTCATCTGGAGCTGCAATATGAGGACTTTGTACTGATTTACCATCACGCCGACCATAGTAACTTTTTAGGTGGTGCAGAAGATGAACCTTCACTTGCTTCAACGAGGTACAGTAGTTCACTAGAAACGAAAACATACAATATTGGACAATATTGCTATCCTTTAATTTTATAATGAATGTCCGGTGCTTTCTTGTGGTAATATTGTTTACTCTGATATTCTACGTGTACTTTTGGGTCAAGTCTTCCTCACGTGCATTTCAGCAGGTACGAGAAATTGGCCTGTGGTTTAATGTTTTTATTTAATTGAGAAAAGGAAAGAAGTATATGTGAAGCTTATTGTGCTTATGAAGTTGCTAGTGGTATGTGATCCAATTTTGCATTTTTTTTCCTTAAAAAGATACCAAAATTGATGCACATAATTTTAAATAATAAAATTAGATATTACATATGAAAAAAACTCAGTTGCCTGTAGTTTCATTTATAAATGTATATTAAGCACAAAATTAAGTATTATTTTAGTTTGAAAAGGTTTAAATCAATATTTGTCTCTTAAATTGTGGATTTATTCGGTTCTACAATCTAACGCCTTGTTCATATATATATTACATACATAATATATATCTATGCTATAGAGGCTATATACTTATATAATTTTAAAATATCAAACATGAAACTGTTTTGAGAAGTATACCAGCGTTTAACATGCTTTGTATGATTTTATGGGGAAAAAATATTTTGGAAGCAGCACCATAAGACACTCCACTGTGTTTTGCAACGACTCTGACTTGCATTACTGAAACTGTAAATCGTTTGCTGACAAGTTTGGAAACAGCCTACATTTAAAGAGGCTATGTGTCTGCTTTGTGGATTTATGCTTGCTGAATCCGAATGTGTTTGGTGTGTGACTGAAGAAACGATGTCTCACATTTCTATCACGTTTGACCTGTTTTTGTTATACTTGTGTTTCCGTGTGTATATGTAGATATATACAGGTACTTTCTAAGCTATTTTAACTATCATCCAAAATGAATAAAGAAAGTTTATTGTAAAAGCACGTATGTCATAATAAATCGCCCCAAACTCTTCAAAGAATAAATGTTTTTAAATAAATTAAAATACTGAACCTTTATCATTAATTTCACAAAGATCCAATAGAGCAACTCGGAAGTATTTTCTTGAATTGTATTGCTATTGTGCACATCAGATTTCTAGAAAGCAAACAACGATTGAAAATTCGTGTTTAGAAATTTCTCAGCTGTCATACCGATCGTTTTATTGTCGATGTTGTTTCCTGAGACTAGCAATTAAAAAAAAAACATTATAATATATAGATACAAGAATGGATATTCTTGTATTCTTTACATCTTTGTTTCTATGACAAAAAGCAGAGAGCTCACGCATAGCAAAGATATCTTCTTTCTGACGCCTTCACGTTGAGAAGCTGAAAAGGTATTTTACTGAAGTTCGGCAAAGCAGCAGAAGCCCGGTTCATCCAGGGGACAAATTTTCTATTCGATTAGCCGTATTTCAGCCGGGAGGACTGACCTCTAAACCCTTGACCTGTTGGACCCATAGCCTTTTCTACTGCAGACAGGATTCACATTCAGGTTTTAGTAAATGAGTTTCTTTTGGCATATGGATTGCACGGTTAATACTGTAATTAACATATTACGGTTAAAGGAATATCACGAGCATTTTCATAGTTTTCATGTCATGAAAATTACAGCTCCACCGGATTGAAACAAATATTTAACGCTTACTATTAAAGAAAATAGATGTAGAATCATTACATAGTGTTATAAAGTGTTCTTGTATGTGTCGGTGATATTATGCGCATTGTATCATATTAGTAAACCACGTTTGATTGCACAAAAAGGCGAGTCTAGTTTCCAAACTGCAAACAATATGTCCATGTGTTGTTACATTGCAATTCGGATTTTGTACTACGTTTATTACATGGTAACAAAACATTCAATTATATTATTAATAAAAACAGACTTCGCTAAGTTAGTAAGCAAGTATTATAACTCAAACATGCTCCACATTCAATTTCAAATAATACCTTGAAATTCCGAACAGTATCACGAAGTATTGACATGTATGTGCACAAAACGAAAATAGATAAAAAATATTTTGTGAAATAGTTTATATAATTAATGGACACAGTATTAAAGCCACCCCCGCCCCCCCCAAAAAAACTCGGAGCAATTGCATACAAAACACACTTACATTTATTAATGTTCTTTCCAAGTCTGCATTCAGAAAAAGAACAGTATACATGAATGCTGAATATAAATATTAAAAGTTTTGCGTCGATGGTAAATCACTTCCAAATTATTATTATTATTATTATTATTATTATTATTATTGCGGCATTATTAAAGATGTTGATAAAAATACAAAAGAGCACTTTCGCATTTCTCGCCATCTTTAAAGGTGTCTCAATCGATAGCATATACACATTTAAAACTCCTAATATAGGTTCCAAAAGAAATTGAGGTTGGATAACCAGGAGTCGAACTTCCATATATACCTAATTACAATCTAACAGAAATGTATATTTGCCAGAGGTATTTGCCAGAGAAACACTGCATAAAAAGATTTCGTATTTTAAGGATTTCTTTGTTTGTTCTGGTATAATTGAGAAATACAATATGCATAACTGCATGTGTAAGTGTATATATGCCTGTGTGTCAGCGCGCCTGTGAAAGCCGTGTGAATGTGTGTGAATGCTTTCGTGGGCACGTGAGTCTTTAAGCGTGCAATACGCTTCTACAAAGTAAAAATAAGATTCAAATAAACATTTCGTTCTCCTCAGCTGACGCTACCATATGTCAGGTCAACATAACACAACAAGACAAAGGTGAAGATTTTACAATTCGACTTAAAAACCTTACGAGAAACACCTTTACCTCAGCTCTTCTTGTGTACAGTGTGAGAAAGAAAACAAAGAGACATACACAAATATGTATGTGTAGGCCTGCTGGTCACTAGACTTTCAAAGACTGTCAACCACCTAAAAATCTTGTTGAAATGTTCATGAATGAACATGAATTTAATACTGACTTCTTAATGCATAGTATTAATTCATGCCTGACGCAATCTTTCATCCATCGTTTTTTTGCATTGCAATGAAGGTATTTAAGTAACTTTTTACAGGTACCGATTATAAAAAAAACATTGTATGAATGGATATATTCCACTTTACTTTTTCATCTGTAAAATATTGTGCAAGACAAGCACTGAACTATCAGGTGTGTTTTATTATTCCTTATTATTCACAGTGTGCCATTTTGTTTCCTATGGTTCAAAATCTAGCTGTTGCGTATTGTAAATGTTAAGATGAGAAATTGATTTTTTGTGAGCTATTTTTTGAATGTATTTTCACTACTGACTTTACTGCTGGTGGGAATGAAATAAACGGATGTATAGGCTGTGCCACTAGCAATGACACGGCATTGAACACACCAGAGGCAGACCCACAATGGCTCACAAACGGCCATGTTTGATTTCCAGCTGTTCGCAGAACTGTCCTCGTCGTGCCAGACGGCTGTTTAAGATATAGCAAACTGCAGTCGCCATCTGAAGATTTAACTAGGAGAATATAAGAAGCTTTCTTCTTTTTTTAAAAAAAAAACTTGATTTGACCACGTGATTTGCTAAATAATTAATGCAGTACGTCCCCTAGAAACACGGCGTCGTCATTAATCGCCCAAGCAAAGGACTCTATCAGACTTGAAAACTGAAGAGATCCCAAGAAAATAATATACAAACGGGCCGGTTTCCTACGCTACTTTAGCCAGCACTTTTGTATAGCATCTCAACAAATGGAAGCTAGGTAGGTAAACATTTAAGTTTCATTTTGAGTAAGACGGTAAATGAACTTAACTGTCACATATTTGATAAATAGTGCCCTTTGATACGTGCACTGTGCTCCCATCAGACAGCCTGAAGTTGTAATGGGCTGTTATACTGACCTTATTTTGCTGAATCCCTCCTTTTAATATCGTGTGAAATTGTATAAAAATTAAAGGAAAATATGTTTCACGTTCATTTAAAATAAAGGGGCAATAGTTTCGTTTAAACGTCTTATTTCAAAAGCTATGGGGCTTTTCGAATATTGTAGAACAATGCAATGGTGTATAGAGCTATTGCCTCTTTCTGGCTGCACGTAAGGGCCACAAAATACGGGCTTGACATACATTAAGATTGGTGTAATAAACAAGGTATTTGATTAATTAATGTATTCTACTGTATATAAGAGGTGAATGCATTTTAAACAATCTTCATAGTTTGCATTAATTTATCTCTGGGTTTTATGATAGGCTGAATGCATGTTTCGTGTGACTGTAGGTGTAAAAATCTGGCAGCAAAGCATGTAATGATTCTGTTGGATGTGATTATTTACTCGGAGTTGTTCCTTCTCCTGGTTTTAAAACCAAGGCTTCGTGTTTGTCATCGAGTCCCATTAAAGAATTACAAACCCAGCTCTAGCAAAGGTGTGGACCGTGGAAGGGAATCGGGGATTATTCACTGCCATGATCCTCTCCTTTCAGAAAATGTCAGAAAGGTCCAAACTTAAGAGGAGGACTGAAAGAACGTCAGTCATATTTGGAATAATCTCAAAGCATTAACGGTACACAGTAATAGGGATTTTATTTAAGAAATGAGTAGGAGGTATTTTAGCAGATTGGCAGTTGCTTTCATTGTTGTAAATCATTCCAAGTAATTCCTGAAAGGGTGTGAGTCTGCTGGGGGCCGGGCGCAGACTGTAAATCTTTCAGTTTTATTGCTCTATGAACATATGCTGTGATGGTAGAAGTCTTGCATACTATTCTCAGGACAAGCTCCCGCTTAGCTAGGTTCCCTCCATCGGCGAAGATGATCATCGTCTTGCTCGGCTTCCTATGTCCTGCCTTCAGTGTGCTAGCTTTCTCGGGGAACGAATTGTCCTTTGAACACATTGCTTAAATGCACAACAAAAACACCAGTAGGACAGAACGTAGTGTTTTCAGGAATTTATTTGCTGTGACAATATAGAAATATCATGTTTACATATTTACAACTTTTTCCATTTTTCAATAGCATCTCCATATGCAAGCACACGTATCACACATTTCGCACTACATATCACACATTTTGGAGTAAGGGAAACAGAGAGAGGCTGTTCATTATCATTATTATTTTGATTCTTAATTTCTTCATTAGGAATCAATCTAACATTTTTCGCACTTGCATGACAGCAGCATAACAATATGAAGAGTTCTATAAACATCTATACATCTCACTAGATGTTAACAGAATGCTATTGACGCGAAATGTAAACGGTTGAAGTTAACGATAAGCGAATGGAAACGCGTGCTATATTCTTTGTAAAAGCATCCTTTAAGAAAGAAGGATGAGTGTTTTTTTTTCAGATTTGTGTT